AACCCAATAAATATGGTGCAGTAATAATAAAGGTAAAGGTGTACACCCAGGAAGCGACCGACCGACCGACCGACCTAACCGAACGGTGCTCTCTATCTATATCCTAAACATATTATACAATTGTGTTTTTTTGTTTTTGTTTTTTCTCACACAATATAATAATCCATTGGTGCTATTAATATCCAAACCCTAACCAACAACAAAAAATTAATATCTGATGACTTGATTCCTCTAATCATTTATTCTTCTCCTTCTACACGAAGATTAAGAGAGAGAGAGAGAGAGAGAGAGAGAGAAAAGCCATTTCTCATGCTTTCAATTACTTTTCAATAATGTATTTATAATGTAATCTCCATTAGATTTATTGATATGAAACCACAATAAAAATACAACAAAAATTTGAAACAATTGTATTGTACACCCTATGTCCCTATTGTACAACAATTTTTTTGATGTAAAAATGTAATAAACAACTAGAAATTTTAGAGAAATGTTAACTTTTTTTAAAAAAATTATCTCTTAAATAAATTAAATTTTTGTTAGAAAAACATTTAAAATTTTATATATTATTATTTTATTATTTTTTTGTAAAAAATAATTTTGTTTTCTGTATGTTTGTAATATGTCTTATTAGACAAATCATTGTTAAATTATGTAATTATTAGTTTATTATTTCAACAAAAAAAATTAAGAAATTAATTGTTATTTGTGTCATAAAAAGTTTAGTAAATTGCAACACAAGTTATTGTTTGAAGTCAACTAAATAAACAGCTTTAACTGTATTAACTCAGCAAATAGTTTGATTTAAAAAAATTAATTATAATTAAAATCCATTTGTACTTTAAAATAAAAAATTATTTAAACTTTTATATACTATTTTTACTGTATTATTGTCAACAATTTTTTAAAATGTCAGTTATAACAGTATTGCAAATTAGTTTTATTATTATATTAATGTAGAAATCTTTTTTAATATATATTTATGCAGATCTTTAAAGTAATAAATATTTAGTATATTTATATATATTTTTGTGGTTTAGCCCAAATTGTGTCCCAATTATTGTAATATTTTACGTGCTTTTACATTATACAGTACAATCAGCAAACAAACAAAAAATTATATAAGATATCTAATTGATTTATTCCCAAATAATTTTAAATAATTCATTTACTGACAAATAAAATAATAATAATAATAATAAAATCCAATTGTAAAATAACTGATTAATCTTATAGTTACAACAGATTTTGATTTAAGAAAAAAATGAGTTCAAAATTTATATGTATTTTATATAATTGACAAGATTTATGAGTTTTTTATTTAAACGAATTGATTTTATATATATTTAAATATAATATAATTTCTATATATTATAATTAATGGCTATCTTGTGATTTATGACAATCCTTTTTTCATTATTAATATTAAACTATAATAATAATAAAACACAACTTATTGATAGTAAAAACTAATTAATTATATTAATTTTTGTTTTACATTTATTGTTATATTTTCACTAAAAAAACATTAATATTACAAATAAACAAACAAACAAAAACTTGTGGTTTTTCGCCCCCATTCAAGAAAATTATAAACAGATGATCTCTTTAAATCAAAAAATATGTCAAAAATTTTGTAAAATATAATGTAAAATGTATTGTCAATAAATATTTATAAATATATAAATTATTATTATTTGCCTTTCATTAACAATGATAAATGCTTATAATAATAATAATAATAATAAATGTACATTTTTTAGCACTTTTATTTAGGAATGTTAATTTATGGTTATATGGGTATATTATTTATTTATTTTTTTGGTTTGAAAGAAAAACTGATAAATAATATTTGATATATAACTTAGATTAGAAATTTTTCATATTTATATCTATATATAAATATATATAAAATTTTCACAGCTATTATTCAATGAAATTCAATGGTATGCCTATTGTTTTGTAATGAAAAGTAAGTACCCGACCGACTGGGCTGTTTGCGTGTGATATTCACCAAACATTAGACGATATATCTCTATAGATATATTTCAGACCATAAGTGGCCCAACCGGTACTCCCAACAGCCGTATGTGTGTGTGTTTGAGGGGTTTGGCCCCCCTCTCACACCATCACTCTACCACTACCAGTGCCGTACATTCACCCAATCATTATATAATAGTTCCTTATTATTATTATCGTTATTATTATTATTATATAATTTTTTTATATTATACACTGTGTATATACAGTATATATATTTTATATTATATTATATATAATATACAATACAAGTGAGAGTGAGTGAATTGGAAAGGTATAGCAGAGTAACAAATAAAAAAATGTATGAGTAATAAAATATTATGATTTTTATTTTTTTCATGAATTATAATAATAATAATAATAATAATAAAATACATGTAGTACTGTATTTGTTGTTAATATTGAAAAATATTTTTATTATTATTAAACTATTTTTTTCACTATAAGGTAAAAAACACTAAATAGTAATTAGCAAACAAATAAAATTATTTAAAAATCTGTATATGTGTTTTTTAATGAAATTAATTTCCACACACACACACACACACACACACACACACACACACACACACACACACACACACACACACACACACACACACACACACACACACACACACACACACACACACACACACACATACATACATACATACATACATACATACATACATACATACATACATACACACATACATACATACATACATACATACATACACACATACATACATACATACATACATATATACACACACATAGAAAATACAAAATATCAAAAGTCAATGTATTATCAAAATGAGAGTTTTATTTTATTTTATTAATGTTTTTTAAATTTAATTGTTATATTATGCAAAATATATGGTTTATTATATGACAACTCTATATAATATTTAATTTACTGAACTATACTTTTGTATATAAATTATATATATATATATATATACTGTATATACAAGTAATTCACTGAACTTTTTTTTGTTGTTGTTGTTGTGTATAAAATAAAAAGTGTACAAAACAATTGTTTTAATAGCATTTACTGTATGTTAATTTCATTTGTAAATAATTACTATTAATTATAATATTAGTTTACTAATGCAAAATAAATGTTAATTTTTTAGTGTTATGTTTGAAATGTGTTTTATTTAATTATCCAAATTTACTGAACTAAACCAACAATTAATTTATTTTTTTTAATTGAGAGACACATTTGTCAGGGTGTAATAATCTATGATAAACATTTGTTTTATATAATAAATAAATTTAGCTTGATAATTTTATAAAATAATAATAATAATCTTTTTTTAAATAGTATTGAATAAAATGGATTTATCAAAAATGTTTAATAAAACGTTTATATAAATAATATGTATAAAAATTTTATATAATTATTGAAAAAAAATTTTTTTGTAATATTAAACCAATTTTTAATAATTGTTTTAAAAAATAAATATCCATAAAATTTAGTTTTTTGAAAACACTGAGTTTTGAAAATTTTTTATATATGATATATACAGCATTTTGCAAATATATTGATAAAATATTAAAAATTTAAAATAGAGATAAACTTTTATATTATTATAGATATATTGATTATAAGTAAATAATCAAATAAAGGATTATACCTGATATATCATATGATATATCAAATATATTTAAAAGTTATTATATGGAAAACAGAAAGTGTGGACCAGATTATAAAGACCTATTACCGCTGTGTTAAGCGGTTCGAGGCCGGCTTGGGAGCCGAGAGAGCCCCGCAAAGTTTATATATACCTGGCGCTCAAAAAGTATAAAAAAATTTAGAATGGTGCCATTCTAACCGGAGGCTCGATGATTATTTTCAAATCGCAACACAATTAATAATGATATTATAATAATACCATATACCAATTTTATAATTAATAATTATATCGACAAAAGAGACCCGGACAGATCTATATAACTGGACTTCAAAAATCCAAAGGATCTTTTGTCCCCAATCACCTGAGTCTCTCATTGAGAGTATGCCGCGACGGGTTGAGGATTGCATTATAAAAAAAATAATTAATTAATCAATTATTTATATTATTATATTTACTTTTCTTTTTTTTATTRATAATTTTTAATTATAATTTATTAATATATGTTTAAAATTGATTTTAATTGATTATCAATAATTTTGCAAAATGCTGTAGATATATATACTGTATATTAATTTATATTATTGACAAATATTATATTGTATATTAAAAACATATAACTAATAAAATTGATTATAAATTATATTTATATATATATAAAAAAAATTCAGACTCTATTACAAACTAATAATGATATTATAATAATAATAGTACAAAGTTTTTAATTAATAATTATAACAAAACGTAACCACAATTTTTTTTTTAAACTTATAATAATTTTTATCTTTTTGGTTAGAAAGTGACATCTATGGCTAACATAACAAATATAAACAATGATATTATTATTATTAATATTAAAAACTAATAATAATAATAATAATAAACACAATAAAAATGTAGATGAAATATATTTTATGACAAATAATATTATTAATATATTAATACAGTATATTTTATATATTAAAAATAAATGTTTTTATAAATCAAAATACTAATGCATTTAAAAATAAATTTTATGTGCAATAAATGATATTATTATTATTATTATTATTTTATGACATATTATCCTCAAATACAGTGTATAAACACAAAACATAAAAAAAATAATTATTAAATAGTATTATAGTATTGCCTAATAATATGTAGCCAACAGTTGGTGTTATTATTATTACATTATTATATGTATTATTATTATATCATAATTATGTGATTATTAATACTATTTTTGTGCAATAATTTAGAGGATTATTACTATTATTATTATTATTATTATAGCTATTAATTATAATGTGTTTATCATATGATTAAATAAATTGAGAAAATTGTGATCAAATTATTATTATTTGTTAAATGTCTTGTAAAAGACACAAAAAAAGTTGATCCCAAAACTCGTTGATCACCAGATGATTATCCACTACAACAACAATAGTAGTGAAGATATTATTATTATTATTATTGATAAACCAATTGATGAACAAATCGGTCGCTTATTATAAGACCTTCTTCTCGTCTTCTTTGTCGTTGTCTTCTGGATGTGTTGTCTCGTCCACCAAAAAACAAAAACAAAACAAAAAGTTTGGCCACAATTTTATTCATCCAAATAATAATCTATAGATGAATTTGAATCATTTAAGTCAATCGTTGGCTAACTATACTTACCATAAGCTAAACATATCGGCCATCGAAAGCTATGTAGACATCGATGTCCTCAAATGGTTTATATGGCTCTTCACGCCCGTTGTGGTCAGTATTTTGTTTGTTTGTTTGTTGATAACAATATCTCAATAATGTCTCGCAATTATCTTATTTGGGATCTTTAGATAACCTTTTTATTGCCGGTATTGATCATCATATTGTTGTATTTGTCTGCACTGATTATCTTCATCTATCGGCACCGACAACGGCTAGATTTGGCCAAAATAGTTGACGCTATTGAACGCAAACACTACTGGGACGGCGCCCTACACGCCGTAGCCATCCTATGGGAGGCTCACGGCTACATCTGGTACGGCTATGAGGTGATCGGTTTGGACAACATTCCCGATGACGGACCAGCTGTTAGTAGTTTATGATACAGCAGTAGTCATGTGCTGTTTGATCCACAAAATTTTATTTTACTATAATTTCATTTTTGTTGTCTTCAATTATTGCCAATTAGTTAATCGTTTATTACCATGGTGCAATACCACTCGACTACTACTACTTATCTGCCAAATGTCTACTGTATAAGAAACGATTGATCCGTGCGGTTGGCGACCACTTCCTCTTCAGGATACCAGGTATTGAAGATATTGATGTGTATGTGTGTGTGAAGTACTAACAAATGTTTTATTGGTTGGTTGTGACCGACAATAGGTTGGAAGCTAATGATGGAAGTGTTGCAAGTCTTCCCCGGTTCCATCAGCATGTGCTCAACTGTACTGAAAGGTGGAGACATGTTATCGATAGCACCGGGAGGTTAGTTAGCAAATATACTAGCAATTTGTTTATGATTTTTAATTATTTATATTTATTATTAAATAGGTGTTCGCGAAGGTTTGATTTCAAAATAGATTTCATCTTTTTTTACTCAAAAAAACAAAACATGAAATTTGAATTTGATTTTTGACTTTTTTTCAAAAAAGCCCAATTCGGTGATGAAAGGTATCGTCTAATGTGGGGCGAAAGGAGAGGCTTCGCAAAGGTGGCCATCGAGGCACAGGTGCCCATCATTCCGGTCTTTACACAGAATCTTCGGGAAGCCTTTCGATCAATACGTTTGGGACAATCGTATTTCAGACGAATCTACGAACGAATTAAGCTACCAGTTGTACCAATTTATGGCGGATTTCCAGTCAAATTGCGTACATTTGTGGGCAAACCCATACCATTTGATCCCGAATTAACTGTCGACGAAGTTGTCCTAAAAGTTAGTATAATAATAATTTTGTTATTACAGTATATTAGATGAGATAATTTAGGTAATGATATCCATAATGTTTGATATATCTTCTCTTTACATCTATACTAGACATCAGAAGCCATTGAAGATCTGATCCGAAAACATCAACGAATTCCGGGCAGTATTTTGAAGGCAATGGTCGATAGGTTTTATTCGTATCCAAAAGAGAAAGATATATAAAATAAGTTAATTTAATTAAATAGGATTTCAATTGATTGTTATATACAATAATATTAGAGTTATATTTGAATTATAGTGTATTGAAACATAAACTCATTTATTTTGTAAATTTTTTAATTTAATAATTTTACTCCTTTATTATTATTATTATTATTTGAAACAATGCATCAAATTATGTACCGATTTTACGAAGTTATATATAAATATATATAAAATATATATATTATGTATTATTATTTTTTATAATGTGTGATATAAAACTTTGTTATTCATAAAAAAATAATAATAATAACGGTATTTAACACAAAAAAACTGTACAAACAAATTGAATATTTACAATATTTTAACTATAGATAATAATAAAATTGGTGTTAAATATTATATTTATGATAATATTTTTGTTAAACGTTTTGTTGGCTTAATATACACAAAACAGTTCCTAATATCACAAGAATTGCACCAAATAGTGATCCTTAAAAAAATTTGAAATTAATTTTTTTGGGGAAAAAAGATTATTAATATTTTTTTTGGATAATTTTTTGTCAACAAAAAAATTTAGTCATTACTAGAGTCGAGAGCTTTTTCGCCCAAAAGTGGACCAAATATGACAACAGAGACAAAATTGATGGCATTAGTGACCGGAACAGCTATAATGATGGGATTGTATGATAGGCTTATGGCGTACAATATGGATCCGCTTTGATTGACCAGAAATGCAAATAAATACTAAAATCGATATTTGTATTATAATATTATTGGAAATTAACACCAAAAAAATAAATAAATAAAAGTTTCAATTATATAATGTATTACTTTCCAATTGGTAACCAATTGTTTCAATTGTAAGAAAACTTCGATCACTTTGTTTTGATGATAGACTTCATCGATGTCTTTGCTGTATCTTTTGATTAGTGGTGTAGATATACCCCAAACAAAACCGGTTATAACCATCGATAGTATTGATTCTTCAATAGGTATAATATATACAAATATTTTAATTATACAATTAATTAACTATCAATACAATAATATTAATAATTAATTAACAAAAATACTAACCAAAACCCAGTGAACTCATTATTAATTAATTAATTAAAATTTGTGACAAAAAAAATCTATAGAAAAAAGTGTTATTAAATATTATTATTATTTATTTAATTATATTATATGATTAGATTTTGTCATTTATTTAACAGAATATATTCTGCACTAAAACATTAGTATAATTTTTGACTCCCAAACTGTTTATATATATATTTTTTTGATTAATCAAAACAAATACTGTAATATTATTTTAAAATATTGTTTTACGTGAAGCCAATAGATAGCGATAATGAACTGTATTTTTTATACAGGTAATAATATTACAATTTGTGTATTAAATTAAATTTTTATATTTTGTGAAGTTTTTGTGGCAATTATTTAACTAATATTTTTTAACAAACTATTTTTTTGTTAGCAATGAAAAGTTTATAAACTAAACAAATTATATATATATAGTATAATCAATATTTGAATTGATATACTGTATATACTGTATATCAATATATTAATCATATAATATTTATTATTATAAATATAATATTATAATTTTGATAAATGTTATTTGCTATCATCATAACTCACTTTTTTGTGTATATAAATTAATGCATTTTTTCAATGACATTTTAGCCATAAATTTCAAAATATATATATATATATATATAATTTAGATTATTTTTTGAAATCTGTTTTTACAATTTTTAGATTTTAAGTAATTTTATTTAAATAATAATAATTTATTTATAGGATTAATATAAAATGTAATGTGTGTTTGAATTTACAGTAAACAACAAATTATATATACATAATATTTACCAATTTCTCGATTTCCTAATATTATTAACATATTTATTTATTTTTAATTTTAAAATTTTACTTTAAATTCAAACACATCACATTTTATTTTCAATCCAATAAATAAATAATTATATATACTGTATATACTGTAAATATATTATGGACAATTTATTATATAATTTATACAATTATTTCAAATAATAATTATATATTGCAATTCATTAAACCATATTATTGACTATCTGATCAATTTTCTATAGTTTATATAATTATTTGAAAATTTAAATTTATAATCATTTGAAATTTTTAAGGAAGTTTTGTTTTTGTTTTTATACACACATATATATATATAATAATTTATAACAATACATTATAATTTGAAATTAATAAAAGTATGTTAATATTTTATATAAACAAATTTATTGTATAATATTATTATTATCATATAAGAGACAAACCATATTTATTATTACAGTATTATTATTACATTGAATTTAATATTATACCCAAATATTTATTTATTTTTATATTCAAATAATAATCAAAATATTTAAATAATTATAAGATTCATTAAATTATTTATATATCTTAAAGTTTGCTAATTAAAAATTTTAGTAAAAAAAACTTTATTGCAACAACAAAAATATTTATTTAATATTATGAAACTAAATGAATGAATATTCAAATGAGATTCAAGTGGAGGTATTGTGTGTTAAGATATAAAACATATTTATAGTCATATGAAGACAGAGAGAGAGAGAGAGAGAGAGGGAGAGAAAGAGAGATAATTAATTAAATTAGCAAATAATGGCATAATTTATAATAATGTGTTCAATGTTTTTATGATATTTCTATGATATGTATGTTTATGGGATGTGTTGTTTGTTTGGTTGGGTTTTGTTCTCAATTCATAAATTTAATCTTTTTTTCCAAGAGGTGGGTGTTTATGGTAACTATCACTTTGATAGTCAGGTAGTTATATATATATATATATATATATATATATATATATACACTATATATACTGTAGAGTATATAAATATAAAGTTATGTATTTATATTTACTGTTATATTTATAAATGTATTATTATATATAAGAGAGATATCACATATAAGGAGTGATATGCCGTAAGGAATTCAATAGGGAATTGTGTGTCGAGTGTTGGGCCCACACACACACATACACACACACACACACACATACACACACACACATACACACATACACACATACACACATACACACATACACACATACACACACACACACTCAGCAACAAGAAATAACTGTAATAAACATAACTATTGATAATACTGATATTATACGTATACATACATACATATTGATTATAGTATAGTTATACACATTTTATTATTATTATTATAATTATTAATTACAAACATACCGTAGTCTTCAAGCAAAATATTTTTAACATATATTTATTGAATTATTTATTTTAAAAAAAGTCAATACCATCATCATTGAGATATAGTAAATGGGAACATTAGTTAAACTACAATATACATGTAATTGTATATATAATGTTATATATTTCAATTAGTTATACTGTACACTTGGAAATTATCTTGATGGGCACCGGTAGTATTGTTGATAATATTGTCATGCTAATAAACCAGGGGTATTAACAATAGTATTATTATATTAGCGATTATATGCTATATTAAATGCAATAACAACTTTAAATGGATATTCATTGTATTACAGGTATTATGCATTTAATAATTTAATAATTATTATAAAACAAAAACACGTTGTGATTTTCTAAATGGCTAAATAAATTAAAAACTTATAATAATAATAATAATAATAATAATAATAATAATATAATACATATTAAATCATACATTAAAACCCCCAAATCATGTAACAACAAAAAATGAAATTATGATTTTGTAATTTAAGAGTAAATTACGAAAGATTCGTCACATTTACCCAAAAAAAAAAAACAAACAAACATTACATTACTGTAAAGTATTGTACTTAATGTGAATCATACCATACATATACCCATACCTATAGTTGGATGTGTCGGCGTCGGTAATATATTCCCTAATCTGTTAGCAAAATAAGTTTGAAAAAAAAAATAATTTTCTTTTATAATACTGTGTGTATATATAATATTTCATAATTGTTTGTAGGATTTGCCGTAACAATTGCACAATAATAAGTGTAATCCCATTTATAAATATATTTATATAATTTTTTGGATATGAATGAATTATTTTTATATAAATATATATACAATATATTGTTATCCATATTTATCAGTATATAGAATATAAATGTAATATTAATATTAGTTTTTTAAATTGTTATTTCAGTTCAATTACACATTTACTTATTATTAATACTTATTTATCGGTTAACTATTATATATACAGTACACAAATTGCAATTAAAACCTAAACAATAAATAAACATATTTAGTATAACTACTAAAGTATTTATTATGTTTTTGTCAAATAAAGTTCATTAAAATTTTTAATATTTTTAAATAAAGCATTTAAATAAGTATGTATGTGTTTATGTCATAATATATATTTTTATTATCAATAAAAAATGCAAAGTAAAATGTTTTACATAAAAAAAATAATTGTTTGTTTTACACACATTTGAAAAAATATTATAAAATTAAGCAATGATATATTTTTATGATATTTAAGTTACACATAAAATACACATTAAAAATGCTTTTATTATCTCATATAATAATAATAATAATAATAATAATAATAATAATAATAATAATAATGAATGGTATGGATTATTAAATATATAATAATAATGAATGTTAAAAATAGGAATTTAAATCATGTATTAATTATTAGTGTAATAATACTGTAATAATAGTATATTAAAATTATTGATCGATAATTATTTTTTGGTTATTTGGGTTTTTTTTGTTGTTATTAATAATGAGTTCCCTTTTCTCCCAAATCGTGATCCCGTCGGATATCGCCGACACCTCCGTCTTCATCATACTGTTCCTCATAGATATCGCGGGCCAACAGACAAGAGCAGGCAATATTCAGTACACGAAACACAAATAGTATGAACAGACATATCATGACACCGGTAGCTCTTTCATAGTAGCCGTTTCGCCAGTCATAACAACCCCATTCCGGTCCATCCCTACTACTGTCGTTGTCGAAACAGTAGTCCGAGTAGAAGCTCTTTTTGATTGTCAAATAGATAGCATTGGCCAGTATTATGAGTACATCGATAATGGTCAGTACTGACCAACCGATTAGTATCATTTGACTGCTAACACAAGCAACTACCAGACCAGCTATCGATACGATGAGTGTTACGGCACCGCCCGTATACTCGTGCCAGTGGCCAATACTCAGACACATGACAATGATGGCCAAAATCAGACAGAAAAAGTTGATTATCACCAACAATAGTCTCATTAATTTTGATAAATCCATTATTTAGTATTTATTTTTGTTTAATGGTTTCAATAATTTAGTTTTTTCAATAAATAAGTTAAATATTAATTAACTTAATTGATTAATAATAATAATTGTTTATTTCAAATCAAGTCACACACAATTTAAATGTCGATTAAACAAAACTAATGGTGTGTTTAGAAAATTAAATTAATAAAAATTGTTAAGTTATGGCCACACCTAACACATACTAATAATAGTTATTAGACATTAGATTGTATTTCACTGAATCTCAAATCAACCGTTTATTATTATATCAATTTAACTGCACTTTGAATTATAACTTATTAAAAGGTATTGTTTTATATATAAATTAATACAGTAAATATGTGTTTGTCTTTTTTTTCTCAATTGCATTAATCATATCTAATATTGTTATGGATTTTATCGAAATCTGAGTCAACAGTAAAGCATTTAAACATTTATTTATCGCAATTATGTGAATAATATTTATATATTGTTTGCCTTTTTAATTGTACATAAAACTAGTCGTTTGTCAGACCGGAAGTTATACATAATTTATATATCAATAATAAAAGGTTTTAAATCTTCTACTTATCTTTTTTTATATAATTAGATATAATTAATAAATTAAAATTATTAATAATAATTTACTCATACATAGTGTCATTGCATCAGATTAAGTCAATTTTATGTTTAGTATACAATATATATAAATTATAATATAATTTATAAAAAGCTTATCACTTTGTTTTATGTTTTGTAATAATTATGTCTTTTATTTCATTTTAAACTGTTTTTTCATAATTGGCTTTGTTATTAAAAATTATTATTATTACTACTATTATTACTATTAGAAATAACAACAATATTAAATGAATGACTATTTTTGTTTGTATTTTATAGTTGAAAGACGAATCCAAAGAGATTTATGTCAAACAAAATTTTTTTTTCACTGTATTTAGTATTGTATTCATCTAACAAATAACATACTGTATATAAATAAATACATACAGATATCTATTTGTTACAAAAATACATTACTTTATTTGAAAATAATTTTTTCAGCAAAAAAAATTAAATAACAAAAAAAAGAGTTTATTTCTCACACACACTAAACATATAATTATTTGGGAGGAGATATGGGCGAGAAATTTGATAGTTTATTATATTTTAAATTCAATGTATTGTAATTTTTAAAAAATTATTTTATAATAATCATAAGTAAAACAACTTATATTTATTATTGTTAATAATATTGTAATACAGTATTACAATATTATTATTATTGTTATCAAACATTTTTTTAAAAAAATTAAATAATATTTCGCCCAAAAATGTGCTTAAAATTAGGTGAAGAAGAAGCGAGCGATCTCTCCCTCTTTGAAACCCATTTTCTAAATGTTTTTATTTTAAAATAATTTTTATTTTTGTTGATTTAATTTTATATTCACTGTACTTATATGTAAACTAAACTAAAAAAAATAAAAAATAAAAATATTTGAATATAGTTTTTTTTCGTTGAAAGTGAAAAAATTATATATACCACTCAATTGTGTGGATAGTATTGTATTTTACAGTACAGTATATAGTATATCCTTTTTAAAAAAACAAATTTGATGGGAAAAAATGTTGTAAAACATTGATAGCTTAGTTGTGATAATAGGCATCTATTAACTACTGCCTCCTCTATTTAAACATGCATTTAGACTACTATAAGGAGGGAACCTATAGTCGCAGCCAATATACATGATTTTATGAACACAATTACTGTGTGTGTGTGCACTGAAAGGGTTGCCTACAATATATGTATAATGAAATATTTTTTTTATTTATTATTAATATTTATTAATATTATTAATATTAAAGGTATAATATAATATTGCATTTATGTATATTATGGTCCCGTAATATTATGGTTGAGAGACACCGCATGCGTTAGAAAGGACAGGTGTTTTACAAAACCAGTTATGAATCAAATTTTTAGTTTTATTAACTAATTTTTCTCTCATTTCTCTCCCTTTCTCTCTTTCTCTCGCTCTATATGTCTCTCTGTTTCTTATAAATATATATATACATTATATATATATATATCTTATTTGAGAAGATTTTTTCCCGAAAAAGCAAATTTTATTTTCAGTTAATAAACACTACTATTACTAGTATTAGTTATTAAGCGTAGGATTGATATGTCTATCCCTTAACCGTCCAAAATAGCAAAGGCCATCAGTAGGTGTACTCTTAAGGAGAAATTAAATCTTTTTAATTGTTAGTGAAATTTTCATCATTACATACATTTATATATATATATATAATATGTATATGCATTGAATATAGTTGTGTGTGTGTGTGAATGAAAATTTTTTTTACTGTTATTTTTAATCGACATTTACTACTATCACCACACAAATTGGTAAAGTTTTGTTTTCTCAATGAGTTTTGTTTGAAACACCATTTGTTTCATTGACTTTAAACCAGTAGTGTCTCTATCAGAGCCGATACACACACCAACCACTGTGGATGTGTTCAACCAAACTGTGTGTTTGAAACTCTCTCTCAACAAAAAAATGTGAAACAATTATATCATATTTTGAAAACTTTTATTAATTATAGTTTGTGAACAACTGTTTTTGTTATTATCACTGAATCCTCAAAAGTGGTGATTGATTTTTCTAATGATTTAAAGAGAGAGAGAAGTCATATTGAAAATCATTGCGTAAAAAAATGTTGACCTTACGTACCGGTCCCCGATTGATGGCCGATCGGTCACATTTTGAGAAGTCAATGGTTGAGATGCCCGGCGAGGGTAAGACATTTACCACTAAAGAAGAGGGAACCAAAGTCTGGCACAATAAGACTCGTCGAAAGTATTACGAAACGGTTCCACCAGCGGAACCAAATCCACGAGACCATCATCATCGCAGTCGAACCGATTTAAAAGCAATTGATTACCGAAGTGACAGAAGTGACACATCACACCATCATAATAATCATCGACGACGACCACAACAACAACAAATTCGTGCCGTCACTGATGACCAAAAGATTGTGACCGCCGAAGAATTGGATGATATTTTTCTTGAAGATCCTAAAGGTTATTATGAACTCCAGAATTCTGAATCCTATTCATACATCCCTACTGTACGCGATGTCGGCATTCAATGCAATCGCAAAAAGACGGACAAACATCTAGTAAAAGGTACGTCCAGTGAGAGCACCGATAGCTATGTTCGGGTAATAAAATCATCGGACGACGGTATGGTTACCGCTTATAGCGATGTACCGCAACTCAAGACTGTCGGGAGTCCATCGAAAAGACCACCCGTTTTAAAGCATAAAGTCTTACCTCAAAGTGAAGCCATTTATAGTAAAGTCGATAAAAGCAAGAAAAAAGTCAACAAAAATGATGAACTAAACGGTTATCCCGAGTATGAAGACTATAAGGATTATCCGCAGATTATCTATAAGTCACCAATCAATGAGAGACAGCCGTCCCGACTGAGCAATTACTCGAAATATTCGGGTATATCAGAGTACAGTACTCCACCAACTAATAGGATCTTAAAAAATAAAACTAAAGGAATCGGATTTACCTTAAGATCGGGAATTGACGAAAAAGAGATCAAATTGCCAAACATGTCGCCAAAGTTGAGATCACGTTCACTCTCCCGATTCCAGGAGCCAACAACCCATCGACGTTGGGATGACGACGACGATAGTCCCGTCAGACACAATGTCAGTGGACACAAAAAAGAGGTCAAACAAGAAGTCTTGGAGGAAACCATTTCGATATCCAACGCTTCCAGCGATGATCTACAACCGTACGACTATAAGGGAGAGTTTGAGCAATACCTCAGCCCTAAGCCGCAGTTCATTGAGTTGGACCACAAACGCAAAGAGATATCTTATGTCAATGATTTGCCCTCCGCTGCCGATCATTCAAGTCGGCCGCGGATTAAAAACGGCACCGAAAGTCCGTCGATCAGTTCACGAGTTATACCGCTTGACTATCGGCGGGGAATCAATGCCGTGACCTACGGTACGGACAACGAGTCGTCGTATTCGACACTATCGCGACACGACATGCGAAAGAAGGATAAATTAGCTGACTTTACACCACCTCCTCGACAGGCTTATACACTCGATAGACGGGTACTCAAAGAACGACAAAAACAGTTGGAATCATCGGCTGCGGTACCGCTGTCACCGCCGACTGAGACCAAACCGAAAGATAGGGCTAGACTTCATCGAAGTACCACAAATCTGAGCGACTATTCCAGGGATAATAACAACAATCTGAGAGGAGGTCTGGCCAATGCTTATCGCAACCGACAGACACAACCGGAAAAAAGGACGTCATCGTTGAACAGGATGTCTGCCATACGCGAAGATCACATCCACAGTCCTTCCCAATCGACACCAGTTCGCTATTTAAGTCACAATCAACTCAATTCGGCCGGTAATTCGGCAAATTCCAGTTCCGATTCGGACACAATTAACCGACATCGGCAACAACGACAACAGCAGCAGTTTGTTCACGACAGGGAACCGATTGTTATGTACATTCCGGCGGTCAGTCATCATAACAAACGGGCTACGGACGAAAGTGATCGCTTGTCCAGTATATTGAGACCGAGTTCACGGGCAGGAAGTACGGCCAGTAGTACAGCTGCAAGAAAACCGACGGCCAAACGGCCTATTAAAGGATCGGCAGCCAGTGATATCGGACCAACTAAACCGCGTGACTATCCGATGAAATATTCAAATTATAATAAAAACAATCAGAAACACATGAACGACGAAGAATTAGATGAAATCGTTGAACTAAAAGATACAAAAAGTTTTGGTAAACTAAAGAATGGTAAGAGTATTCTTAGCCGAAGACATTCCATTCCCAAAGATACCAAATTTCCGTGGCTTTCGAAACTTAAGTCTAAAGTCAAGTTTAGAGATCCATAAGTCTATCTCTTTAAGTCCCGGAGCCCATGGATGAGGACTGACTGACACTCACTGACTGACTGTCAAAAGATTGTAATTTTTTCTATTGAAAGTAAAGTATTGATTGAAAAGTTTTTCAAATAGTGAACTAATTAAACTTTTTTTTTAAAAAAATATAATAGTAATAAATAAATTAAAAAATATATGACAAATATTATATATGATATACTAATTGATAATTTGAGGTTAAGGTCATGTGTTATTTATGTGCCTTACAATTATTTTTTTRAGTAACAAACGTAAAAAATAATTAATAATTAAAGTAATTTAAAATAATTTAATTTTTTTGTCATTTTATTATTATCCTCTTTTTCCTAATTAATTGAATTTTTGTTTATAAAATATTTTTTTGATGTTTGTTTTGTATTTAATTTAAAAACTATTATTTTTTCGTTTGTTTTTTTTTTGTTAACAAATTGCCAAACAAATTAAATATTTGTTGTTTTTTTTTGTTTTCTAATAATATAAATGTTTTTTTTTTGTTGATGATTATATTTTTTTCACACAATTTGTTTGTTGTTTGACTTTTGTTTTAAACTAATTGTAATATTTTTATTAAATAACATTTTTAAATAATGTGTTTTACCAAAAAAAATATGGTTACAAAATTGTATAAAAATAATATTTTTTTAAAGTAATAATAATAATAAAAAATACTACTACTAGTCGATAGCSGATATGAATTTGTTTGAAGTTTTTTTWWAAAATTTATTTTATTAATTAATAGTTTTCTTTATTTTATTATTTCTYTCTCTCTCTCTCTCTCTCTAAATATTAAAATAATTTACAATACATTGTAATRTTTGTATTTAGGAGTGAAAGGATGTGCGCTAAATAAATATAACTTATTGTAGAAATTATTTTAATTGTTATAATATAAATAAAATAAATCAATTTTGACCTCCAAATTAAACAATTATATTCAAACAGTAGAGTATAGTACAGTACATATACAGTGCTTATACTTCACTTTTATTTGCAAAACAATATAACAATACATTTGAATTTTTTTTCTTCTCTGAAAAAAATAAAATCAAACAAAAAATATTATGCAAAGACTTGACTATCGCTTGACTGACAGCACATATACATTCAAATCATTTAATATAATAATCATAATAATCATAAATGTTATATCAGATCACTTTGTTTTTAACATTTGCGTAAATTTTTGTTGTTTTTGTTGGTATAAATAAATTATTTATATACCTATTAGCTTAGTTATATTAATTATTACATATACAGTATACTAACTTATTATAATAAATAAATGGCAATTATTGTGTTTGTGTGCAAAATATCTTAATTTATATAAATTACAGGTACACTAAAGTATATGTTTAAAAAAACAAATAGTTATTTTTTTGTGTTTTAATTACAAAAAATTTTGTTTCTACTTTAAAACAATGACATATACATAGAGGCGAAATAAATATAATTGTTAGGAAAATTGAAAAGAGAAACACTGTTTGCATGTATTTAACAAATAATTTTTTGATTTAATAGGCCTTTCGCTGTATAAATCATTTACTAAAATTCATAATAAACATTAATAATAATATAATAATAATAATAATGTTAATTAATGCAAACAATGAGTGATTCATAAGTTTTAGCAGTGATTATGATTAACGTTAACATACTATACAATAAAATACAGTATATATAATATATAAGTTATGAGAATATTGTGTGCAAACAATATTAATAATAAATATTAATTGTTTTTTGCAAACAAAAGTTTTTACAAAATCTCTCTCTCTCTCTCTCTCTCTCTCTCTCTCTCTCTCTCTCTCTCTCTCTCTCTCTCTTTATTACCTGAAGATATTGGTATTGATCTCCAAAAGCAATGATGTGACACAACAACAACAACACTAAAACGACAGGTGCAAGCAATTGGTTTTATGTGTGTAAAAAAAATAATTAAGTTTAACAAGTTTTTACTGACTCTCTAATACACAAACATACACACACACAATTAAATTACAAATTTAACCAAGTTTAACCAATATACTGTAGCTTATGTAGCTTATATTATGGTACCAGTGCTAGAGTTCATTAATTAAATTGGTTTCATGTGAGGCGAGTCCTTGAAGATGAGTTCAATACAGATCATTGCTAACTAACCCTTAATATTATAGATAATAACTATTAAGACGACTGACTACACTGTATATAAGATTTAAATAGTTTTATCATAAAAATAACTTAATTATCATATAAGAGTATTATAACATTATTGTCTTAAATAAGTCTTAATTTTTATTTTATTTTTAAATAAGGACTCTTTGTGTCTGTGTTTATAAACTTTATGTACAGTATATTATGTTTGAATTGAAATTATCAGGGATAATTATTTATGACTTAAAGTCAGGCAATCATTTATTATATTTATTTATTTATTGTTGATTTTTATGAATTATTATTATATTTAATTAACAGTGAAAATAAAATTGACGATTCAATGATTGCGTGAATTTCTAGTAACTTATATTTACTGTATATATATATATATATTTCGACACTTAACTAAATACTTATTTTCTGATTATAATTATGATTATTATTTCAATTATTTACCTACTTATCTAACAATCGTAATAATTATGATTAAACGAAATATAAAAACAAAACAAAAAAAAGTTAATTAAATGATTATTATTATTAAAAATATTGCCTTTAAATTATTATTAAATATTAATATACACTTTAAAAGGTTATTAATTTTTTAATAGTAAAATAATAATACTTATTTAAAACAATTTTAGTATTAATTGATGATAGAGTATCGTTATAGTTAAATTTTAAAAATCAATATTTAATTTATCAACATTAACAAAGTTAAATAATTGCTTAATTAAATCAATTAATTGATTATTTTTTTTGTTATTAATAAAAATTGATAATTAAAAATTAATTGAAATCCAATTGTTTAACAATTAAATAAAAATAATATGCCTAATATATTTTAATTTTTTAATTATTAAAATTTCTATATTTTTACCAAATTCTAAACTATTAGAAATATTAATAAATAATATAAAACCAAATTTTAATTAACTTTTACTTGAATTTTATATTTCATGGTTTCCCCACAAAATTTTTAAAAAATCTAATTATTATTAAAAGTCAATATATCAATAACAGTGACATCAATGAAATAATACCATTTATAACGAGAAAATCATTAATTTATTTTTTTATCCAAAAAACATCATAAAACAACTCTATAAATACTACATTAATATTAATAATTATTAAACAAATATCTATATCATTGAGAAAATATAAAATATAATATAATATATGAGTTATTTTGTTTTCACTTTATATATAAATGATTGTTATTAGACTATAAACTATTAAGTAAAATATAGTAAATAAAATAAAATAAAAAGTATTACTAATGAGTATTTGAAAACAAGTTATACCTTAAGTTAAAACATTTTTTATATAGCATTTGACCTCAATTGCAATGTTTGTTTCACTAACTTTTTTATATTATTATTATTGAATTTTTGTATTAATATATTTTGAATTAATTGTCAAACCATTTATGGCATTATCGCAAACTCTTCACAAGTTTTCAATTTCATTACACATATAAATATATATATACTATACATGACATCACTATAATTATATAATATTTTTGTATTTATATGTTATATGTTTAAAAATTTATACATTTATATACTGTATATTTATTTTATTTATCATTGTTTAGTATTTATTATTTTTAAAAAAATACGGCTATCAGTGTAACCAAAATTAAATATCAATATATAATTTTATTTCTTACTATTATATAGTGTATCTATGAATTAAATGCATAGTTTATATTTTGTCATTGAAATCACAAGAATATATTATATATATATATATATATATATATATATATATATATATAAATTTTTGTTTTTATTWTTATTATTATTATCCAATTGACATTTCAATGGTTTAATAATATGATAGATTAATAATAAAATAATAGATTTAGTTTTATTATGGAAATAATAATAATAATATTGTTATTATTATTTAAATTAGCATTATTTAAATAATAATGTATATTTTGTTTATAAATACAAAACAATTCAAAATTACATTTGAGATAATACAAGATAACAAAAATTAATAAACTATATATAATAAACAAAATTGATAAATTATTAAATAATTTAGGCAAATAAATAAAAGATAACAAAAATAAAATCTAGTAAAAATGTGTTGAAAATATTTATTAATAATATTACATAATTTAATACAATAGTGTACTAAAATTTTCTATTGAATATATATTTTTTAAAGATAAAAAATTTTATTATTAGTAGTATTTTTAAAAAAAATATTAAATATGATAAATAAAATTCTGTTAATAGTTATACTATTTTAAATGTCTTTATTTTATTTTTTATAATAATTTACTTTATTACCGTAGTAGATAATTACTATAGTGAAACATTTGCACACAATTAGCATACTTTACAATACAATAATTATTAATTTATAACACACTATTAACTATTGATATCCACATTTTAATATTATGGCAAATAAAAAAATTTTTGAGGAATAAGTTTTTTGTGTGTGAATATATTTAATATACTGATAAACTGTACGTATGAAGTGCATTGCATTTGCATTAAATACAATCAATAGACTATTAAATTATATTAAAAGATTAGAAAAATGTGTCCCAAAAAATGTGACAAAAAATCATCGAAAGTATCGTACGTTGCGTCGGATTATCTGTTATCGACCGACAAGAGTACGGCGGGAACTAACAAATTCAAACCTATACCCAAACCAGTGAACCGTGCGACCAATTTGCACCAATTGAACTGCCTCTATATGGGCGACATCGTTGAAGTTGTCGACTGGCTTTTAGTTGACCGTGTGTTCGGTAAGTTTGGCCAAATTGTAAACAATAAACATTACCGCAAAACCAACTTCGCACATATCGCTTACGACAATCCCGAGTCGGCCATCGTGGCCGTCAGAGCATACAATGGTAAACACATTGACGGACTGACCATCGATGGACGTACCATTCGGCTATCGCTGGCACCTGATTTGAAGCAACGACACGCCTACAATGCCATGACTATGGATGACTACCGCGATGTAGTCAACGGTGCCGGTGAGTGTCACTGGTGGCGATTGGGACGCCAGTGTACACATGGAAAACGGTGTCCATATTATCACATACCCCGGTGCAGACGTATCGACAAAATCCCTGATTCACTAAATGATGACAAATTGGACAGTCCAGAGCCAAGTAAGTCGAAACACTTGTCCAGTGAGGCCAAACCTAAACCAGTGAAAAGTGCAACTAATTTGCATCAATTGAACTGTTTGTATATGGGAGGCATAGACGATGTCGTGGACCGGCTGATAATGGAGCGAGTGTTCGGTGAGTTTGGCCAAATTGTATACAACAAACATCACCCCAACACTAATTTCGCACATATTGGTTACAACAATCCCGAGTCGGCCATAGCGGCCCTTAACTCGTATAATGGCAAACACATTGACGGACTGACCAACACTGGAGGTGCCATTAGGCTATCGTTGTCACCCGATTTCAGGCAACATCACGCCTACGATACCATGACTATGGATGACTATCGCGATGTAGTCAACGGTGCCGGTGAGTGTCACTGGTGGCGATTGGGACGCGAGTGTCCTCATGGAAAACGGTGTCGATATAAACACATACCCCGGTGCAGACGTATCGACAAAATTCCTAAATCGTTCAAAGGACTGGTACTTTAATGGGTACTAACAATAGTCAGTGGGAGAGGAGGTATTGATTTATGATATCGTTTGGAGTGAATTAACTAAATTAATGTTAAATTTATTAATTATATAAAAAAATTATTGTTTAATTTTTTTCAAATATATCTAAATATAATTTGTAATGTTTTAAAAAAAACCGATAATTATTTTTCAATTTATTTCATTATATAACTTATTAATTTTTTTACTATTTATCTGTAATGTTTTTATCTGTATTTAATTTTGTTGATACGTTTTTAATTAACATTATTTAAATAATGTTGTATAGTATTTATATTTTTTATATATATATCAATATAATGCCAATATATGCAATAATTATATGCCAAACAATTCAACATTACTATTGATAATACAAGATAACAATAAAACAATATATAAAAAAACTAAATTATGAAATAATTTAGACAAATAAACATAACAATTAAAATTTAGTAAAGTGTGTTGAAAATGTTTATTATTATTAATAATATTACATAATTTATAAAAATACTATTGAATATACAGTACTGTATATTATTTTTTTAAAATAAATAAAATAAAAACTTTTATAACTATTATTATTATTATTATTATTAAATATTAAGTATTTGTTGGGTCGATACAAGCATATTCATTAAGTGAATTCAATTTATCTAGCGAGTACCTATGTAAATTGAATTTAAAAATAAAATAATTTTAAATTATAATCATATTTTAGTAAATATATACTGTATATATAATAGTTAAAAATTACAAACATTTTTATTAAAATTACTTTAATTTTGTTTGAAATATTTTTAAAAATATACAATCATCTTTAAGTTTACCATCAAATTCATAAATTATATTATCAGATAATTGTTTTGTAAATAAATGATCCGGTATCAACATTGTACCATGGTCAACAATATCACGGCTAGTAGGTCTACTACTATAGTGTACAGGCTCAATCATTGATTGAATTAAATTGCCAATTTGTTTCATATATAATTTCAAGCAACTATTTTTGTATAGTTCAAAAAAGTATCTAGATAAAACCAACAACAAAATAAATAATTTTTAACAAAAAAAAATAAATAAAATAATTTTTGTTTTTAAAATTGATCATACTCAATTGCATTGATATCATTGATTTCAAACAAATCCATTAGTAAAATACCCAGACTATAGATATCACTTTTTTCGTTATACTGAACTCTTTGGTCGGCAGTTCCTATATTATCGATGACTTCCGGCGCCAGATATCGTGGAGTTCCCAAATCATTGGTATGCGATTGCGATCGCGAACCATACCGATTGTGTTCGGTAGCCAAACCAAAGTCACCTAACCGTACAAACCGATTGTTGATTGGCTCGGATTGGATGAGTATATTAGCCGGTTTGAGATCCCGATGAATAACCGGCGGACATCTTGTATGCAGATATTCAATACAATCGCTAATCTCTAACATCAGATGAATAGTTATATAAAACTCTGTTAAATCCATTGGCTGTTCATTAGCTGATCGTTGAAATGTCTTTGACTTAACTTCAATCAAATCTCGAAGATTTTGCGAACAAAACTGCATTTGAATGTATAGTTTATTAGTATTTGATAAAAAAAATTCTAATAATACTTATTATTTCTTTAATAGCATAATACTTATCAGTTTCGTTATGTTTGTACAAACAAACTGATCCATAACCACCTGAACCAAGTGGTTTAATAACAGTAAACTTATTTATTAAATAGTTTGTACTGTAGTTTTTAATTTCAAAACTATTATACACTTTATTATATCTATTTAAATCAATTGTTTCATATGTTTCATCCAATTCCGTGGCATAGATATCATAAAAACTATTTGATTCAATTAAATTGGTTTTCAAATCATAATCATGTTGATAATATCTATCACTAGTTTGAAAATATAGATATTTGCCCTGGATACTGCTAACATTGTTTAGCCTTTTAATTAGTTTAGGTTCATTATAGTCGCGTTTTCTAATTTTGCCGCACTGGTAGACCTGGCCACTGTAGGTCAAATAATATTGTTGATAGGTTAGATTTTCACAGTAGACTGTCATTGATTTAATATCTGCTAATTGTTTAATCAATCGGGGTTTATATATTGATTCCCGATTCGATATATCTATAGGAGGATAGGTATCGCAACCCCATATAAAAACATGTCCGGTAACTTCTATGGCCATGGACAGGCTAATAGTCCAACAACATAACGATACAATACTAGCATTATAGTCAAATTTGACCAGAGTCGGACAAACAATGTAATCAGTTAGTTGTTTACCGCAACCGCACTGTCCCATACTATTATCGCCCCAACCGTAAACATCACCCATACTGGTCAATGCCAGTGCGTGACTATTACCGCATGCAATATCCGTAATATATTTGCCGACAAAAAACGGTATTAGAGCCGGTTTGTTGTATTCACTGTCAGTATGACCATCATTGACCGGTCGGCCCAGTTGTAGGCAATCATTACTACCCCAACTATATGCTTGTCGTTTTCGTGTTATACAAAATGCCATTTTCTGGCCGATAATAAATTTTTCGACATTAATTCCCGACAATTCCGGAACAACTTGCGGCTCATTTGTAACATCTATATTGTGACCAAAACCTAACTGGCCATTGGTGTTGTTGACTCCCAGTGCATAGACAGTGTCATCGTTGGTCACATAAAATACATTACCGTATTGACAGTGAAACAATTTGATTTGACATTTAATATGTTCGGGTATTATTGGACTGCATGTAAACTTATTAATTAAATCACACATTATATAATGATAATAATAAATGTAGATTAAAATTATTATTATTAGTTTAATAAAATTATATGTTTATAAAAATTTTAGTTTTAATTTTCGCTTCAAACAAAATAATTTTTATGATATTTTTTTTTAAATAATAAACTGTACAAGTAGTTTAGTTTATTGTTGATGTAATAGTCACAAAAAAAAAATTTTTGACAGTATTTTAATAGTAAATATTATTTTTTGATATTTAAAAAAAAAACTACACTTTTTAATGTTAAGTTTTATGTTAAGTGTGACACCTATTGTGTGATTGTATAGAAAGTCCAAAAAGCATTGAATGGCATAAAAACATTGCAATAATTGTTTAGTAAACAAATCATAACATTATTATTATTATATAAAAATCAAATCAATTGTGTTTTACGGCAACAGTTTGTTTTTTGTGGGTACCGATAGAGTGGCCAACATCATCATCACCACCACCATCAACAACAACAACAACATTATCGTACTAACAAGTGTCCAGTAGTCCAGTCATGGTTAAACCAGAACACCCGATACATCACGAGGCCTCGAGACCATTGCACGGTATTCCCGAAGGCATATTCCGGAGCAATGTTACCGATATATTTGGCCACTTGATGTCGGCCCAGTGTCAGATTGGTAACGCTAAGCCCAGGTGTGCCGAGTTTCAGATGAACGCTTTCGAGTGTCTGGAGGCGTACGGCGCCCATCGCGGCCGCAAAGTTTGTCTGAATTTTCTCAAAGATTTCTTCGAGTGTACCTATGGTCTCGCACAGGTATGTCATCTTATAGTGTGTGTGTGTGTGTGTCTGTGGACACCCGAATTCTTACAGTTAATGTCTATTAATAATGATGACTGATATATCTTTGTTGTTTCACATGAATTGCAGGGCCAGAGAGCCAATGAAATGACGAAAGAGCGGCTCAAACAAGTGATGAGAGGCGAGAGATCGTTGGCCGACTTTCACGATAAGGTCAAACCGCCGCGCGATGCCATCCAATGGGGACCGTTTCATCCGTAATCCCGAGTGGGAATTATTATGCGGGGATATTAAGGCGGCGAGATTTTGTTTTTAGTTGTATAGATGTCTGCAATTAGGGTACCCGTACTGTAACTACCAATTGTTAGACCACACTTACCGTAGGATTTAATTGTATATCTTGTATAATAATATTAATATCAATAATAAATTTATTAATAATACCGATAGTTATATGAATTGAGAGCAAATTTATATATAAATATATATATATATATATTGGTTGATATATTGTAATAATAATTCAATAGATTTATTTGAAAAACAATTTTAATAATAGTTTCTTTAAAAATACAGACAAAAAATGAATATTAAAATTATTAACTAAAATATACGACACGTCTTGAGAAATGAATTGTTTGATGATGTGTTGGTCGTTGTCTGATAGGGTCGACCACCGCTGCCGTAGATATAATTGTTATGAAGCGAGTGTTTGGCCAACAGTTGTTCGTACTGTGATTGAGGTCTGTGGTGTAGGACAATGGATGAGCTGTTATTGTTGTTATTGTTGTGGTGTTTATTGTTGATAATATTGCTGTATCTTTGTGTCGGTAATGGTCGCACCGGTAGTCCGCCTATACCGCCGCCGCCACCGTATTTGCCTTTATATCGATAATGACTTAGTATGGCATTACTGCTCAACGATAGTTGCGACGGTACACCAACAATACCACGGCCGACGGTTGAAGTATTATTAAAGTAATTGTAACCCATTTTATAGTTGTTTTGTTGTTGTCTTTGCTGGTGTTGTGGTTGTTGCCGATAGTTAGTCATGTAGTGGTGTCCCGATCGCTGGTGATATAGTGAATCTAATAATTGTTTGATATCAGCACAAAAAAAACAATTTTATTTAATTATATGATATGTGAGATAATAATAATCATTATATATATGTCTTATTATGCAATACTTGTGCCAAACGATGATGTATTTGCGCGAAGTGTTGGCATTATGTTGTTTGGCGGCGACGACAATACAGGCGTCGAATAATAGGATGTATTGTTTAATGACTTGAAAACTGGTTCTTCATCGACACTGTTGTTGTCATCGTTGATTGATTCCATATAAGACTCGGCGAGGAAATGAAATACTAAAATATTTAGAAAAGCAAACAAACAAAACAAAAGAAAAGAAAATAATGAACCAATTAATTGATGAGTTTTTTTCTGTTTGGCAAACAATACACTTATCCGTTAAGATTAAAGCAAACAAAAAACAATAATTGTTACCATTTTCAACATTAATATTGTCTTTGACGGAAGTCCTGAATAGTTTACAATGATATCGTTTGGCCAACGACTCGGCTTCCTCGCGGGTGACAACACTCTGATGGGACAAATCGATCTTATTGTGGACAATGGCCATCGGTATGTCACCGCATTCGTACTCGACTTTCTTTTTCCATTTTTCAATACTCAGAAACGATTGGCGATCTGTTGTCGAAAAGACTATAACGCAGGCATTGGCACCTGAAATCATGAGAAGTAGATCCGGTTGTTATATAATAAGTATTAATAATAATAATAATATATATGATATTAAGTCATGCGATTATGAGAAATGCAATAAAAGTTGTTGTTTTGTGTATTGTAAGTGTCATTGAATACCTCGATAATAGGCTTTAGTTATGGCATCAAACTCTTCTTGTCCTGTAATCGATGGTTAAATCCATCAACAATAATGAAAAAAAATAAAGTTAAGACAAACTTAATAATTATGTTATATAATAATAACTTATTAAATACTATTTGACTTATTAAGAGTATACATACCCGCTGTGTCCCAAAGCATTAGTCTTATATTATCCGATTTGACGCTATAAATAGGTATTTAAAAAAATTACAGAAATAAAATCCGAGATTTAATTTTGTTTTGTTGTTTAAAAAAATATCTTATTTAATGTTTTTTCATTCATTAATTGATTGTAATCACAAAATCAAATAAATACCGGATTTTTCTTTCCATAAAATCCACGCCAAGTGTCTTCTTGTACTCATTAGTGAACAATCCTCTACAGAACCGCTGTATCATTGAACTCTTGCCGACCACACCATTGCCCACAATGACAACCTATGATTAGTCAAAGAAGTAATAGTAGTTTTTTTTTAAAAATCAAAATCAAAATGTCATATATTTTATTTTGATAATAATTTTTATCAAATGCATTGAATAACTAATTTATCGGTTTTTTCAACAACAAAAAAATCAATATAATTATAGCTATATTTTTTAACGCTTATGTTAATTAATTAAAAGTTTTTTTCTCTCAAAAAAATGTAATCGCATTTTGTTTTTTAAACCATAAATAGTCTTATCATTAAATTTATTAATATTTTTTTAATTTAATAGTATTTTGTTTTATGTTTAATACTGTAGCTAATTAGTACGTATATAATTAATTGAGACAAATCATATTTCGCATTTAATTATATTAATGTTATAAATAATTTTTTTAAGTGATAAACAAATCATTTAATTTGATTTGAAGAAAAAACTTGTTATTCAAATACATCATATAAGTTGATTAAACTTTTTTTTAAAGATTAAAAAATTGTATATTAACCGGTAATTGAAAATCAATACATAATTTTTGTTTTATGTTTAATTATATACAATAAACTTAATATAATAATAATTATTATTATTATAACTAAAGTCGATCTTTCAAATCAAAAATGATTGACAACTATTTTCATTTAAATTACGATTTTCCGTCACATTTAAATGTCAAAAAAAAAATTTTTTTGAGTTATTACTTATCCTAAAATGTTTTTATTTATGCTAATTTTATTTAAGTTGATTTGAAATCATAATTAAAAGGAATATTTTAAACTTTTTTTATAAAAAAAATACATAACAAATAAAAATATTTAAAAAAAATGAATAATATGTTTTTTATATATATAAAAAATTTAAAACAAACGATTAATGTTAATTTAAATAACATTTATAACAGAGTAATACAAATAATTTACATTTTTAGTTAACACAAATTTTAGGAAAAAGTTAATATTAAATAAATAAATAATTAATTCATACCTTAATAGCGAGTTCAAAGTCGTCGTCTCTCATAATACTAATTATTAAATTTTAATTAATTATTAAAACAATTTATTTATAATTAAACACTATATATATATATTGCACCACCGTAAATTGATAATATAATATAATTTATTTAATATCACAATTTAAAATTTTTTTATATAATAAAGAAATTATTTATATTCAAATAAATTTTAATACTAATAATATCCAATTATAAGTTAGTTTAGTGGATAATCTTCAATAAAATTTTGATAATTCAATGGGAAATATAAAAAATTTGCATATTTTACGCATGGATTAGTTTGAAAGCAAAACTTTTTAAATTATATATATTTTTTATTATTGTTATTTGTCACCGAAAAAAATTTTAAAAATATCAATTTAGTTGATTCATAATTTAGTTTTTTTCAAAAAAAAAGTTTAATAATTAGTCACATAATCACATAAATTATTTTTCATATAAATTATTTCACGCAATCATAAAAATCAAGTTTTCGACTAAATTTTAAATAATAATTTTTTGAGTGAGAAATTGTGGCAACAATTTTGTGATTATATATAACTTATATAATTTATATATTATATATACAGGTATACTGTAAGTGAAATAACAACTTGTCTATTGGGCTCATATTTTGCTACTTATGATATCATATATAATATAATAAGTTTTGACAAATTTTTTTTCTCTATTTGCCGGAGACTTAAAAAAAATAATTGAAATTTTCTTAAGCTAGTAATGCACTACAACAACAACAACAAAAAACAATTGCACTACAAATCAAATGCATAACTGATTTATTAAAAACTTATATTTTATGAAGTTTGAAGTTCAGGGACTATATAGTAGAGTATATACTGTACAGGTATTATACAGGTATGTGAACAAAATAAGTTATATAATAAAAATAGTATTTTACAGTATATTTTCATATAATAAACATTATTATATAACAACTGGTTTTTTGTGTGATAATAATAATAATACTAATATTGTGGTCCATGAAAATCACTGTATTATATATGATAGAAGAAAATGATAGATCAAGTAGTGGTGAGCGCACACATACACACACTAGACATGAAATACAAGACAAGACTGCAAACAACAACAACAGATTATTTTAATACTACAACACCAACAACAACATCAACAACAACAAGAAAATTGTTGTATAATTTTTTTGTTGCCATTTCATTGACCCCTTAAACTGAATGGTTGAACGAACGGCCAATTCTTGTTGGACTAACAATTGCTTTATAACAAGACTCGACTTTTTTCTCTCTCTCTCTCTCTTTCTCTCTTAAGCTGAAGACTCTCTTAGAAGAGGATTGACTTTTCTGAGACTCTCTGAACCTATCTGTTGTGGTGGTGATGATGTACTGTACTTAACACACAGAACAGCCCCTACCTAATCAAGCAAAACACCATCGGATAGAGAAATAGAGAGAACCCACTAATCAAATGGATAGCCTCAGGACATCCATCCATACATATATATAATAAGACACAAATTTTTATTATTATTATTATTAATGCAATGAGAATATAAATATATGATTTTAATGTTATTCATATTTTTATTGCCTTTATTTTTACTGAATATACAATACAATGGGATTTCATAATTAACCAAAAAAAATTGGTAACATTATTGTATGATGTGATGGTTGTGCCAAATATTATTTATATAACTTTATATATATATACAGTACTATATTATGAACCAAAAAGAAAAAACATTATGAAATTATGAATTGACTTTATTTTTTGGATTATTGTATAAAATTAAATAATAATTAAGGTAAAACCTAGAAAAATATCTTATATATATTTATAGTTGATATGAATTTCATGAATTTTTTAATATATAATTTTTTTTGAATGTACTGATCGAGACATGGGTTACCAATTACTAAAGTTGCCAAACCCTACCGTTCCTCCATGTGATAGCTTTTTCTTTTTAGGCTGTTCTGAGCCCTCATAATAATCATTATTAGTATTATTATTATTAGTAGTAGTAGTAGTATTGGTATCACTACTCGATGTTTGGGCATTCAATACACTCAGGTCTATGAAAGCACCGATACCTTTGCGTATAGGCTTCAACTCTTGAGTTGTTGTCCTACTCTTAGCCCTCAACTCCTTCTCTTTGTTCCGTTTTTCTTCTCCATCCATTTCTTCTCTTTCTTTACTAATCTGGTCTTCAATTTCCTGAAACGGATCCACGAATATAGGTGTTCTTAGAATCTTAATCTCATCGAGGGGTCGATCTTTAGCATCAGTCTTAGTCCTTTCCATTTTATCTAACACTTCCAGACCGCCGACTACACGGCCAAAGATGGTATGCTTTTTGTCCAAATGTTTGCACGACCGGAAAGTTATGAAAAATTGCGATTTATTAGTATTGGGACCCGAGTTGGCCATACTTAATACACCGCGTCCTTCGTGCGAAAACTGTGGCTTTATTTCATCGTCAAACGGCTGACCAAAAGCCGACTGACCACCTTTGCCAGTGCCAGTCGGATCACCCGATTGTATCATAAAATTTTTGATCAATCGATGAAATATGTTGTCGTTATAGTACTCAGATTTGCATAGTTTCAGAAAGTTATGACAAGTTTTCGGTGTCTGATCGCAATAGAGTTCCAAATTTAAGTCACCAAAATTGGTCACAAACCGTACGTAACCTTTCTTCTTGATCTTCGGATAGAGTATTGCATCGTCGGTTAGAATGGCCGGCTCTAGTTTAGACCAAACCGGATCCATTGCTGTAGAGGTGAACGATGCGGCCACAGCACCGGTAGAATAGTGGGCCGAATTGAATTTGTCGCCCTTTACGGCCACCGCTTTCGTGTCTTTACTCTTATCCAAGTTTTTATCCGATTTTTTCTTTGTTTTCTCTTCCAATTCGCTCAACTCTTTCAGTGTGGCTTTGGTTTCGTTGTTGACAAATCTTAGTTTCGAGTCTTTCTTGTCTTCGTCATCGCTGTCGACTAGCGATAGCTGATTGCGGATGTGATAAAAGTTAGTGATATTGAATTTGGAGATATCTTTCGGATCCTGAATGGTAATGATGTCCTTCTTGGTAAACGGTTCATCACTAACCAAGTCTTTCATATGTTTGGCCTTCAGATTGAGTTCTTGGACGGCTTCGTACGAGAAGACATTGCCAGTCGTCCGGATGGCCACTAAATGCGAATTCTGTGTAAACACTTTGTACAATACAGGACAGTGTCGTTGGCCGTCGTTGTTGAGATGAAAGTTCAGTTTGACCAGCGATTTCATGTCCATCTTTTGGCCGTCAAACGGATCGATGCCGTACTTCTTGATAAACGGTACGATGTTTTGCAGGTCATAGATAACGCCCGATTGGTTACAATAGGGATGACTGAACGGTTGCATCGATAGTGAACAGTGATCGAGTGGTAGCCGTCGGAACTGTTGATCGCTGGTCGCGTCCATCAGATTCTGTAGGGCCGTACGGCCGCCGTAAATGGTCGACCATTCTGTTGATGTCAGATAGAGTTTGTCTTTTTGATGTTGTTTTTTGCCCATCGCTGATGATAACGATGATTATGTTTGTCACTGAAATAATCACCTAAAAGCTGATCCACAACAACAACAACAATACATGCAATCAATTGTTTTTTTTTCATTAAGTGATGTCTAATGTGTCTAATAGTCGGCGCTATTGTGTTATACACAGTCTGTATGTAAATGTATTGAATTGAATGATACTGTCATTGGTTTGAATGAAAATCGGTTTGAAAATTGAAATAATTTTTTTTTGTTTTTTATTTTCACAACTAATGTGACAACACTTGCACAGAGTTTTTGTGTGTTTTTTAATTATTTGAGCTAAAGAGCTGATCCAATGTTAGTTTGTTAACCAACAAACAAAAGTGCAATAGTTTTGTTTTAACTGTTAGTTTCAAAATGTGTTCATTAATTAATTTCATAGACAATCAAAACTTATTAATCAAAAGTCGCCGAAAAGCCATCAAAAGTTTGCACCTATTTTTGGACTCATTAGATGAACAATTGGCCGCCGATGATGATGATGACGATACTGATGGTCATCATCATCGTCATCATCATCATACTGATGGTCAGCGACAAGTGATGGTAATTGTTTTTAAAAGCTCCTAATTATTTGATCTAAAAAATATAATGATATACAGTATATATTAACCATTGATGAAAAATTGATGACCAGATCGATGTCTATATCATATGTGATATACATATGTATTAGTCATGCGTTTAAATACTTTATATTAATATCATATAACATATAATGTATAAAATTATTATTGCAATCAATTTGTTGCTATGTTTTGCTAATAACTAAATACATTGACAACAAACTTATTACTACCTGTATTACCAATGGTAACCCACTGTACAGTATTAATATACACAGGTATTATAGTGTATATCATATACATATACTGTATATAACTATATAGTTTATATGGATATAAACTTATTGTAAGTTATATGATATTATGGGAGATAACCAACAATAATGATATGAATTTTAATATAACTTTTAAATCTATTGATTGATCCAATTGTTAGCCTATTGTTAACCACTGATAACTCTACATATAAATCATTATTAGCACTACTAATATAGATGTAATAGCATATACTGGATATTATAAAATAAATAATAAATTTGATAATAATAATAATAAACTATAGTTTTAATTAATAAATAAAATTGCACGCAATTTTCATCAACAACAAAAAAAGTTATTAATAATACATCATTTATTTATTTATTAAAATAAATATTGTATGATATTTATATTTTTTAAAAATATATGCAATTTAATAATAGATTTTTAAGTAAAACATAATATTTTATTTTCTATAATTTTATTTTAAAACCATAGTTAACCAAAATTTGCATATATAATGGTATTTTATAACTATAATCAAAATACTATTTTTGAAAATATTTTACATATTTAGGATACTATAAAATAATAAAAAATAATAATAATTGCTAATATAATCCCATTAAGTTAAAAATAGCAAACAATTTTCATTTATGTTATATATATTTTAATTATATAATTACAATTGAAGTTACAGATACAATAAATTATAAATAATTTTGTTACTATAAATACCAGTATTAATTTACCATGGTTAAATTATTGCGAGATATTTTTTTTTAAATTTATATATAATTTTCTTAATAACAATTTTGTTAATAATGATAATATAAATAGTATTATTGTTAAAAACTAATTTATAATAATATTAATGTACTTAATGTTTGTTTTGCTAATATTTGCGCAAATATTGTTAGATTTACTTTTTTTCTTATTTTTTATATTTGTTATACAATACTATATATAGGTATATACTGTATATATATATATATATATAAATCGATTTCATATATGAAAAATATTATTATAGTATTTTGAAAGTTGTATTGATTGTCAATTTGTTATTTGAATTATTATTATAAAAAGAAATTTACAAAATAATAAAAATATCTATTATTGCATGACTTGCTATAATTTAATTGATTAATAACAAAATATTAATAACAAAATTATCTTTTATATAATTTTTATATTTAATTAAATTATTTATCGGAGATGTGTTTTTACCTTTAAATTTATAATATAAAAAAATGACAAAAACTTAATGAAAATGTTTATATAGTTTTTCAATGACACAATGTATTGATGGCATGAAAAATGACAATTATTTGACAAAATATTTAAGTGTCATATATGTCGATAAATTATTTTTGTTAAAATAAATTAGTATATATTTTTATAACAAAAATTTATTTTTTTTATTAATTAAATTGTCGGACAGTTTCGAGAAACTGATGAGACAACAAATGAAGAGAAAATCAAACCAACAAAAGAGATCCCAAGACCACTATCTCAACAATCAACTGATTTGATGGTAATATTATTGAATTTATTTTTTAATTGGTTTTAATAAATGTATGAAAATTAAAATTATTTATGATTTTTATTTTTTTTTAAATAGTTTGACGACAAAGGCTTATGGTTAACATCGGCGGCGAAGAGTGAGTTAAGACGCCAACAGTTGGCTGAAGAGCGACGACAGGATTACAAAGAATTTCTGGAAGAGGTATAGATCTGGAAGTGATCTATTGATTATTATTATTATTACCGATATATATATATATATATATATATTGTTGTATTTGACACAGAAAGCCGAAAAGGAAAAGGAAATAAAACGATCGAAAAGAAACATAAAATTGGATTTATCGGTGAATTACAATGAATTGTTGAATGAGAAGAAAATCGATGAACAAAAATATCGACAATTAACGGGAATGAATGATATGAACTTAGAAGATGATGGGATGAGAATACAAGTGGACAAACAAGGATATTGTGTGCCGCCGATGATTGGTTCAGTACCGATGAGCTGTTCGAACAACAAGTTTGATCCCGAATACATTACACCGAGAAGTCGACTGTTGGCCACACATTCGTCGCGATTAAAGGCAATGAAATACAGGGAAGAGTTGCGCAAACAGTGCGAAGAAAATAAGAAACTCAAAGAACAGGAAAAACAACGAATTCTAGATGAAGACAAAGATATGGAACAGAAAATCGATGCCCAAAGACAGAAACTGTTGGCCGAATTTCAGGCCGAACAGAGGGCTTTTCGAGATAAACAACAACAAGAACGGGATTCGAGGCTCAGCGACAACTCGGATAAACTGCAATCATCGATGTCTCCTTATCGACGAATACCAGCGTCGCCACTATCGATGATAAGAAGTCCTACTTATATGCATATAAAAGATGGACATCCGTATCATAGATCTCAGTCACCGAAAAAGCATTCCAGGAGTAGACAACAACAACAAACGGTGTCCAACAACAACAACAAATCCAATGTTTCCCGATCTTTAGCGTCCGTCATGTCTAGCACAAGGCGACGACCGGAGACGACATCGAAACATAAGTTGACCGCCAAATCTATTGGTCATCAAAAATTAGACGGCACACCAACATCTGCTGAATTATACAATGAATCCGATGATGATTACGATGATGATGACGAAGAAGAGGAAGAAGAAGACGTCGCCGTTTCTCCTGATAATCATAAATATGATAAACAAAACAAAGGTATAGTTTGTTTGTATTCATTGTAAGCCCTAATTTCATTGAATTATACCGATAGTGTTGGAACAGTACCGGTAATAATTGTCGATAATTTTAATAGTAATTGTGAGTAAAATCTTATAAATTACTCGCAAAAAATGATTTTACAATTTTTTTTAATAATTATTATTCCTATAATTTAATTTTTAAAAATAATTTTTGTTGTTTTGTTTTAGATATTGAATTTCGTAAAAGAGTTTTGAGTCAATTGTCAGAAGTTAGACAAATGATGGAAAGCGATCACATCTTAATGATGGAAGACCTGAGAAAACAGCAACAATTGGATCAATATATTGATTGAATATATCATCAAATTATATATATTTTTTATATACTATTTATAATATTGTCAAACTTTTTGTTTTATTATTTTGTTTTTCATTACATTTTAATTATATATATTTTTTAAATATTTTTTTTTCATTATTATAAATTCTTTCAATGATTTTATTCATTAGCAAAGCGTTTCCCTAAAAAAAACATTGCAATGCATTTCAAATATAATACAATTTGTATTTTTTCCAGAAAAAAATGTATGAAATCACTATAAATATCATTAAATAAGTTTCAATTGAGAGAAAAAACATATAATTAATTTGTTTGTTTGTTTGTTGTTGACAATGATAATTTTGTTTTGTTTTTTGTTTATGATAAGAAAAAATGATTGAATTTTTTTTTATTTTTGCAATTATGTAGAAAATATAAAATAGTTGAAAATTGTTTTAGTTGTCGTTAAGACCAAACTACCAATTGAACCAATGATTGATTATCTTTTTTTTGGGCAAATATCATCTCAAGCACTGGTAGTGTCGTCGGTATTAGTGGCAGCGACTGTGTCCGATAATACCCGTTTGTCGTCCATCGATGAATCGGCGGTCAAACATTCGCTAGTAGTCTTGACTCGTTTAGCCGAAGGCTCATCGCTTTTAACCACACTATCGACATCTACTTTATGATTGTTTACTTCATTTTCATCGTCGTCCAACTTTCGTTTGGACACTTGACCGACAAATTTGACGATAACGGCAGTCATATTGTCACAACCGGTGCCGTCTCCGTGTGTGTTAGGGGCCAGACATGTCCTGAATAGCTGATTGGAAATTAAAGAATAAAAATGTACGGTAAGTATCATTTGGATGTCTCGATGAATGTTACAAACAAAAAAACAGTTCAATTATCGATAACTTACTTCATCACATATTTTGGACAATTTGTCCACTTTGTTGATACGGTGTCTGACAAACTCTACCACTTGTTGAGATGTCATTGAATTCCTAGATTAGGAAACAAATCAAATAATTATTAAATAAATCAAACATTTAAATAAATAATATATATTATGGAATAATAATAGATACCAAATGCCATCGCAGGCAATGACCATAAACTCGTCGCTTTGGTCGAGATCTAGTGTCTTAATGTCCGGCAATGCGGTAATCATTTGTTCCCTATCCGTTAGTCTAGTATTATTTTTATAGGAATGGTCTCCGATGGCACGCGACAAGTTTAGTCCGCCATTGACGCGGCCGTCTTGTGTCACTTTACCGCCGGCCTTCTCCACGCGATCCCTTTCCAGATCGTCTTCTGGTTTGTGATCTATAGACATTTCGATGGCCGTACCGTTTCGGGAGACAACGGCCCGCGAATCGCCTGCATTGGCCACCAATAGTTGATTCCCGCGTAACAGTGCGACAACAGCTGTACACCCGCTGTCGTAACCGGGCTTTTCGTAGCTAACTGTATGAGGTTCCACTCCTTCAACCTCGTCTTCCTCCTCCTCTTCGGATGTCTCTTCATCTTCTCCCTCCTCCTCCTCTTCTTCTTCATCATCAGATGACTCGTCTTTTCCCATAAACGTGTCGTCTTCATCGTCACTATCTTCTTCAACATTATCTGATTCATCCATGTCTTTCACAAAATACTCGTAAATATGTTTATCAGACTTTTTACTGGAATCTTCGTCATCTTTAGTAGTAATTTCCATCGGTTTTGGCGATTCTTTCTTATGTTTACCTTTTCCTTTATAAGGCGTCGTCGACGGCTCATCAGATGTACTCTTGACGTCACAATTGTTGCTATCACTGACAACTTCATCTTTGCCATCAATTTCAGATGATTTGTTTTTCAACTTGTCATCACTGGAATCGATTCCATTGTTACCATCATCGATGGCAGAATCTGTTGAATTGACCACAGAATCACCGTTTTTGTTGTGCGCTATCTCTCCGTTCGATGATTTCATGTTTTCACTGATGTCTTTGGGCTCTTTTGTTATCGTTGTTGTTGTCGCTTTCGCTTCATTATCATCGGCAGTGCATACCATTGACTCAGTTGATGATATGGTCTTTTCTTCTTCTGCTGAGTTGTTGTCATCACTTTTTACAATAGCTGATGGAGTAGTAGTAGTAGTGGACGATGAACTACTACACACTTGCAGATCAGGGTCTAACTCATCCCTTAAATGGTTGTTTAATGATTCCTCAGTCAATGAGCTTCGCTTTGCTTTAAGAAATGGCGAAATAGGTTTATTGTCTTTGCCGTACACTTCGTTTCTCAGATGCGACGGCACAGACAGTCTTAACTTAGACGATGATGACGACGACGTCGAACTACTAGTCAGACCACTGCCACTGCATTCGTTATCATCGGATTTTGTCGACATCTCATTACCGGCAATCACATTATGACTATATCTGGCCATCACTTCGGTAATCGGTAGGTCGGCCTCTTCTCGCAAAAGAATGGCTTCATTAAAATCGTCGTCACTATCACTGTTGCGTTCATCTTCCTGAGTACCGGACAATATCTTCAATTCGTTAAACACTTCCGGTTTGACCAGTGTTTTATCAAATTCAAGAAAGGCTTCCACCAGACAGTCGTTCAATTTATTTGTCTGATATAAGTTCAATGATTTTATGAATGTCGGCAAATGGTGTGCACAGTATTTGGCCACTTCTGGTCCGCCGTGACCGTCAAATACGGCAAACAGCGATGTATTATCGTCGTAGTCGGCGATGGCAATGTGAGCGTCCTTTTTGAAAAAAAACAAAAAAAAATAAATAAATCAATTTGAGTAACAATTGGTTGGTGACTATCACCGACCTCTTGACCAATCCTCCAGCCCTGCATTGAGGCGGCGCCGAACACCACACGGGCTGTCTGGCCGTCTTCCGACTCGATCTCCGTGTTTGGTGTCGACATGTAAACACCCATCGCTTCTTGTAATAAATAAATATCAGTTTTTCTTCAGATGAAAATCAAAAATCAAATGACAAGACAATCAATCAATCAATCAGTTTATGTGTGAAGTGTTTCAATACATTCAATCATTTTATTGTTTTAATACATTAAAGTCAACACTAAAACCAATGAGAAAAAAAACCTCAACACAAACACATCGATGCCATCCATCGTCACATACGTGTGTCAATTCATACTAATAATAAATATATGTATTTTTTGAAACCCCTATTAATAGTAATAAATAATATTAAGTGAATTACACCTAAATGTATGGCTAACACTCAGCTTAACGGTATAACGTTGTATTTGAATGGTTACGATGGCCCACTATAGGTGTGGATTGAACTCTAGCGTATAGAGTTGACTCTGTAGTTGACTTTATTTTTTTTCATTATATATTATTAGTCACACGTGTTGTGTATGAAAACCGGCATTTAGTGTCCCAATTGAATGACTCACTCAATGAATATAATATATAAAACATTTTTTTTGTCGTAACGTTATATACGAACGATTTGGTGCATTGAATATAATTTTAAAAAAAACAAAATAATTGTTTTGAATAAATAATAATAAATAAAAAATTTGAAAAACATTTGTTTTAGTGATCAATGATTGCTATTATAAGACAACAATAAGCTATTTATTTGTGCACTTAATTAAATCCCTGTCCTCGACATAACTGTCCAATTCAGTGTGTCTGAACAGCAATGAACTTTATCGGCGGTATCTTATCGGGCGGTGATCTGTTAAAATTGAACCAATTGGTCACTTTCGGTAAGTTTTATTGTATATTATTGTTTGTTTGTTTTGGATCTAATTTGGGTGACAATTATTATTATTTATAGGCAAACGATTGATCTGCAAAAGTCCCGGTCAGTCGCAGAAGAAACACAAGGGACGGCTAAAGAACATAACATTGATTAGTATTCCCGGCGATCGGGTTGAGGAGCGGACAATACTTGGCAAACAAAAACGTCTGAAATATCATCCGGGATATAATGTTTGTTTCATTGACCACAAGATATTTTTTATAGATAATAATAATAATAATGAATGTCTTTATTAGGTTTCACTGAATCCAGTTGACAAAAGTCTTTATGCACTGGTCTCGGGAACTGTCTATTACTCGATTGAAAAGTTTTACCCGAACCCGAAAAGTCATTGGGTGGACAAGTATTACAATAGTGATAACAATGATATACCTATCTATAAGAAGTATATACATGTTGTCAAAGATCGGGAACCGATTGAATTCAAAATGATTGATATCATCTGAAAGTCTCGGATCGTTGAAAATCCATAGTTTTTTTAATGACAAAAAAAAACATTTTTGATATATTGTTGTCTATAATTGTAGTCATATTTTATATACAGTATATATACTATATATTAATTAATTAATATACTGTTTATTATGTTATTAGTTTAAAAACAATAATTGTATTATTAGATTAATAATAAAAAAATAATCATTTATTGTATATACTGTATATACAGGTACAGTATATAAGTAAAATGAGCATGCTTATTTTAACTATTTTTTATTTATGGGCAAACTTGTCATCAATGGTAAGCCTTTAGTGGGGGGATAGGAGGGGATGAAAAACATTTATGTAATTTTTATTATTAATTAGGAAACAAAAATGTTTGTCATAGTTTGACATCAATTAATGTAGAGATAGAGAGAAAAAACTACCCAATGATTTGGGACAGTAGTCTAAATTTATGTGTATGTGTGCGGAGGTGTGTCTCTCGGAGGTATTAAATTAAACTATTGAACTGTTGGTTTTTAATTTGTTTTTTCTTGAATTAATGAAATGTTTATATAAAAAAAAAGTTAGGTTAAGCGCACTGGTAGTTGCTGTCAATGTATGGGCACGTCTTGTATGTATGTATTGACTATGTGTGTTGTGTGTGTGTGTGTGTGTGTGTCTGTCTGTGTTATGTGGTGTCTGTGCGTACGGTATGTCTATGTGTGTGTATGTGTGAGCGTTGACTGCATTTGACTGTAAGTAAGCACTGGTAGTGTTTGGCTATAATATTCAATACACATACTATACACGCAAACAATCAGCCAAAGGGCACAGCAATAATAATATTTATAAAAAAATGATAATAAAATATATATAAAAACTATTCACAAAAAATGATTTAATCAATTAATAATATATTTAAATAATAAGTGGTTTGTGTGTCCAAACATTTATTCAATTGTCATCATATTTTATCAAATATATGATATTAAGCATACAATACAACATTACATACCGTAAAACACCGATTTGACTGTTATTATGTGTTAAATATAATGATAACACACACACACATACACACAATGTTTGACTATTAATATATATATAAGTAATGCTATAATCAAAAAATAAAATAAAACAAATAATTAAGTGTAATATAAGTCGTGTAAAGAGTTAAATATATATATTATTTAAGTTATATATATACTATTAATTTGATCGTTGAATACAATAATTATTATTTTATTTGTTTGTTTCGTGAAATATTTTTTTTTTCGTTGTTATTTGAAGTGTTATTTAGTTTACTTAACAATTATAATAATAATAATTTTTTTTTTTTAAATGTTTGTTTGTATTCAATATATGATATTTAATATTGAAATAAATGTATAGTTTGTGAATGCATTGCTTGTAAAAAAAACATTGCCTTCAAATTCAATGTCATATTTCTCAGTGGATTTAGGTTTGAAGTCAAACAACAACAACAATATATCAGTAATAATAATCACAACAACAAAATAAGTTAATTTTTTTCTGGTTTTTCTGATAATTTTATGTATTTAATACATATATATATATATATATATATTATAATAACAACTATAATATATTGTCAACTAATTTAAGAGAAAAAAAAATCTTTTTGTTGTAAATGTTTTTTCTGGTGATCTGTTTTTTATTGTGATCGACAAATAGCATAATACTTACGGTTACCGCCGATGATGATGACAATCTGCTGGGGTTTAAAACATTTATAATCACATAATTAATATACATATATATATATTAATTTATTATTATCTATATATCATATAATAACATATATATATATGATAACCTAATTGTATGCAATGGCTAACCATTATTATTATTATTACGGCAATCATTGTAATCGCAATCGACTAATGTCTCAAATGATAATCAATTGTTTGGTTATTATTGATAATAATAATAATAATAACAAAAATAATAATAATAGTGTTATTGTTGTAAACAATACTGTATTCAAAACAAACTCATAAATAGTGTAATTCTTAATAATAATAATAATAATAATAAAAAGTAATAATAAATTAAATATTTTATTATTATTTGTCATCAAAAATTTATATACAAATTATTATTAATAATAATATTATTATATTTAATATAATAATTTAGTCGTCACTTATTTTTTTTTGTTATCATTTTATTATTATTATTATAATTATATGATATTATTATTGTTTATATTTGTGTTTTATATTTTTTAATCATATACTGTATAATATAAAACCTATTGAATTAATAATAATTTGTTTGTTTATCATTTATTTTAAATGATATTATAATTATTATTATTATAATTACAACAACAAAAAAACTGATAATATTTTTGCAAACATAATGTCCGCAGAGATTAACTGTTAATTGGTTTTTACAATATTTTGTAATTGAAATCAATTTTTTATTAAAATTTTTTTTTGTGTCTGATTTATTGCAATCATTTAATAATAATAATAATAATAATATTGACATCAATTTCCTCTCTGTCTGTTTGTCTGACAACTAAAGATATAAACTAAACCAAAACCAAATGGCCGACAACAGAGCCAATGATAACGACTCGAAGGGCAACGACTCGGAGGAAGAGAACGAGATTCTTGAGGAGAGTCCATGCGGTCGATGGCTTAAGAGAAAGGAAGAGGTTTGTGTGTAATGTCTGTGTGTTATTGTTGTTGTTGTTGAAGAACCAATTCATTTATCATTTTTACTCTTTTTAATTATCATCCACTGATGGATAGGTTGAACAACGAGATATACCCGGCATTGATGCTACCTATCTGGCGATGGACACCGATGAAGGCGTCGAAGTGGTCTGGAATGAGGTTCGCTTTTCCGAACGCAAGATATTCAAGACAAAAGAAGAAACCATTAACGAAGTTTTCGACCGATTGGTCCAATTAGAGCACCCGAACATTGTTAAGCTACACAAGTATTGGGTAGAAAAAGACATCGAAAAGCCAAGAGTTATATTCATTACTGAATATATGTCGTGTGGATCACTTAAACAGTTTCTTCGCAAAACGAAAAAAAACTTAATCCGAATGGCTCTCAGTGTATGTCTTTTTTTTTAATAATAAATTTATTTAGTTGTCACCACTAATGAGATTTGTTTGATTAATCTGGTGTTGTCTTAGGCCTGGAAGCGGTGGTGCACTCAGACACTGTCAGCGCTATGTTATCTGCACAGTTCACAGCCACCCATAATCCACGCGAACTTAAACTGCGATACAATATTCATCAGTTATAACGGTCTTATTAAGATTGGAGCCGTCGCTCCCGACGCCATCCATAAGCACGTAAAGACAGTACGCGGAGACTCGAAAGCTAATCTGCATTTTATAGCACCGGAAATCGGTAGTATTACCGACTCAAACAATTCGGTAATCGGACCGCCAGTCGATATCTATTCATTCGGAATGTGTGCCTTAGAAATGGCGGCCCTCGAGATTGCGACTAACGGTGAGACGGCGGCGCCGACGACGACGACTAACAGTCTCATTACCGACGATGTTATCAACAATACCATCGAAAGTCTGGAAAATCCGTTGCAAAAGGATTTCATAACACGATGTCTACATAAGAATCCAAAAGAAAGACCGACAGCAAGAGAGTTGTTGTTTCATCCAATCATTTTTGAAGTGCCAACTCTTCGTCTGTTCGCAGCCCATGTAATAGCGAAGAATCCATCGTATCAGCCGGAACTCTATACCGAGGAGGCTATCAATCGTGTTCTATGTCTACAAAACAACGACAGGGTATTGGCTGAGATATGCCATCCGGATGGCCGGCCATCAGTTTCAATGAAAAGTGATTCAACAAAACTAGAGTTTGAAAAATATATCGAAGAAGTCAGAAACGGATCCTATCCGTTGACAGCAATCTTGACGACAACACGTCTTCCATTGATATCTCGTCAGCGAACAATGTCACCGGAGGTGTCCGGCGAGTCATCCAAACAGCTTAACTCTCCAGACAATCCATTCGACGAAGAGACACGTCGTATTCAATCCATTAATTCAACTCTTGAGCCAAATAATAATAGCCAAGAGCCAAGTGATATTAAACAACTTGTGATATCTCTTCATATAATATTTGATGACAAAATCAACAGAAAGTTGACAACAAAACTGGATTCATGTGAATTGGATCCGTCATCGTTAGCTCAAGAATTGATATTTTATGGATTCGTTAATAAGGTATTTATATTTTGAAAAAAACAAATTATTATTAGTATCACAAATGATTGAAAATATTTTCTTAAATTATTATTTTGATCTTTTCATTCAATAGGATGATGAAGATATAGTCTGTGAGTTATTGTCTGAAACTCGAAAATTGTTTACCGATTCGGCAAACAGTCAGTCAGTCAGTTGTCAAAAAATGCAAAAATTGAGTCAACAAACCAGTAGTAGTGAAAATAAATAATTAAAAAAAAAATAATGATAATAACTAATTAATTATTAATAAATTTTTTCAGCAACAATTTTTTTCGATTAATATTCTATATATAAATTTTTATATAGAATATACTTATATATATATAATATTTGAAATATTTTTAAAAATTCTTATCAAACAAAAAAATCCATTAAAATGAGATAAAATTTTAAACAATTTTCATTTATTGACTCTCTTTTCATCTGGTCTTATGAATTCATTATTTTAATATCTTTTAAGTCGTTGTTTAAAATCAATTAAAATGAATTCAACAAAAAACCAAATATAATAATATTAATATATATATATTACTAATCATTAAATTTTTACAATATTTTATATTTATATATATATTTATATAGTTTTAATATACGAAATGTGAGAGAAAAAACATGTTAACGATTGTTAGTAATCTTTTTGTTTTTTTTTAAATATAAATTATATATATATATACTGTATATATATATATTTATAGAAAAATTCACGACAATTATTAGTTATATTAATATTATATATATATTTATAGCTGTATTATGTGTTATTAATAGCAAAAAATTAAGAAAGAGAGAGAAGAAAAAAACAGAGAAAATAATCGTTTTTATGAATATATAGATCGAGCCATAAACGACATCTTTCGCGGCAAATACAGTGTGTCATCGAAATAGGCGGCCAACTCTTCAACTGATTCATCGCCCGATGGATAACCAGTCGGACCGAGACTCGAGTCGCATAAGGCCTGTCGGGCGCACGTCTTGTCGTCTTTGAATCGCAACTTACGAATCTTATTCGGCTTAAGTCTAATACAATTTTCAACGCCACAGCTGTTGACATTCACCGACGGTTTAGCGGTAGTAGTAGTAGTATCGGTGATAGTAGTAGTAGTTTTTTCGCGCCATTCAGTAGCCGAAGACTCGAGTCGGAAGTGTTTTTTAAAATACAAGATTTTGTCGTCATTTTCTGACCTGTCATTGCTGTCCGAATCTTTAACTGAATTGATGGCCAAATCTTTGAAATCACAATAAATTGGTGTCTCAGTAGTAGAAGTGCTGACAATTGTATTATCGACTTCTTTGCTGACAATTGTATTTTCGTTGACATCGGAAGACTGTTGTTTTTGAGAATCTGTTCCCATTTTCAGCGATGACGACGACGACGTCGATGGCTGAGCTGACGGCGGCGGATGAGACCTATGAAGACGACGTACAGCACTAAACGATTGTCTCCTTTCGTGACAACTAAGAGAAGTGGTAAACATTTTTCTTTTCAGACCAACTCTTTTCCAGTGATTATATCATATGTGACACAAATATTTCGATACAATACCTGAGTTTCGGTGAATACGGAGTCGATTTCAGTGTAAAATAATTACAACTATTGTTGTTGTGATGAGAATTGATGGAAGAAGAGTCATGTTTATTACCACCGATGTTGGCCACCACCGCATCGTGGCTGACCTGATCCGAGTCGTTGGTCACTTGCAGTCGTCGTAAATCTCGTTGAATTTCAGTCAAATTAATTTCAAATCCTCGACTATCGTTACCATCACTGTTGACATCAGTTGACGTACACTTCTTCGTGTTAGCCGTCGATGAACTGTCAGTTAATTTATCCATCAATTGATTGATTAGTTGTTTTCCCTCTAAAATCAGTCACTCATTGAATGGCAAAACATTTTTATTTATATATATAATAGTCATTGAAATCATAGATCAAAACATAACACAAATAACACATAATATTATTGAAGACGAAAAAAAAAACATTGAAGTCATTGAAGGGTTCGACTCAATCCAAATCAATCGACACAATATTCCCGTTAGATATTCCCTCTGCCTATAGAATGCGTCACTCATTTGACCTTAAATTCCAAAATCACGTGTCGAGTCAATGGGAAAAAATGTTCCCAAACTTTCCCCGGGGAAAGTTCTAACTTGTTTTTTTTCTAATGGAAATTTCCAGAGATTTTATGTTATTGCAAATGTTTTCCACATTGACTAGAGCTGTGCGCCGCTCAATAACAATATAATTATCGGTAAAAAACGGGTAATTATATATATGTTATATAAACTTCAAAATATATAATATTTATTTGCAATAATTATAATAGGATTTAAATAACATATTATTTCAATAGTTTTTTTTTGACAAAAAAAGAAGAAAATTTGTGATTAAATTATTAATATTTTGTTTGTTTGAGAATTTAATTTTTGTATTTTTTTTGGCGATAATTATTTGATGATGAGATCAGATCTTCAGTCAGTCTTCTTGACCACCAAATTGTTGTCGATTTTGAACTCAAGACATCTGAGATTAAAATGTTTGCAACAATTGCATCGATAGCTAATCGGATTGTATGAACCAATTGTTTGACTACATTTGGGACAAACGACTTGATGAACGCCCGCTGGACTGCACCGGCCGTACATCGACGGACTGGCCGACCATTTCTTATAATTGTTAGCCGAAATCATCCAGTCTTGCGGCTCAATGAACACATCAGAACAGCCATTACTTTGACATACATTTGACTTGTCGTCGTCGTTGTTGTTGTCGATGGTCTTTGGCGTATCGTTTTGGATAACATGAATCTCATTGTACAGTCTGTACGAACAATATTTGCATAGATAGTAGGGACCCGTTGCCGCCGCCGACACAGTGGCCACCCGTTCTACTTGTGCTCGACGTTCGAGATAATTGTAAATACCTAACGGTGTATACATTTTCAACAGATATTGGCGAAATTGTGGCCGATTTGCGTCCAACGAAAAGTCGTTCATACGTTCGTAGAGTTGCAGTTGTGTAACGAAACCGGCGTTCGGGTTGACCGACGGCCTCTTCGAACGGACCACTCGAATGGCCTCCGAATAGGGCAAACGGTAGCGTTTCATGAGAAAAGCAGTGACCAGTGTTGCACTGCGAGAGATACCGGCCCTACAGTGTACCAAAACGCCGCGATCCATGCCGTGTGTGTCGGCAATCAACTGATAGGTTTCTTCGAAACGATCCAACAGTTGGGTAGTCTTGCAGTCTTTGGCATTGATATGATAGTAGCAGATCTCGTTGTCGGTGTCACCACTTTTAACTGATCGGTCCATAACAGTGATCACCAATTTGATTTCGTACAGTTGCAACAATGTCCGATTGGTTGCCGCCTCCAGACTGCCGAGGAATAGCTTGTCATCGATTTGGTTAATACAGTCGTGTGGCATATCTTTAACGGTAATAGTGATAGTAGTGATGATAATGGATCTAATCTAATGGCATCAACGAAGAAAAATATATCATATATGATATCAAATGAAATGATTGAAGTATTGAATTGAATTGATTTTTATAATAAACTATTTTTAATTGTTGTTTAAGTAGTCAGTAGTTGTCAATCAAAAAATATTTTATACACAATAATTGTCCGCCAATTCAAGTCTTAAGACATAACATAATGTTTTGTTAAATCGTTTTTTGAATTATGGTTTCACTTATTATTTGCTGTTTTTTTTTATTTTATTTAGTATTTTATTATTAAATACTTGTTATTCAATGGTTGCAAATACTGTACTGAATATACAGTATATAATACAGCAATAAATACTGTAAACAGCAATACATTTATTAATATACAGTAGAGGTGTGTACGACTCGATTGATGTAAACAAAAAATATATGAGAGTTTCAACTATTAGTTTGTGTTTTGTTTTGTTTTTTATTATTATTTTGTTTTTTTTGATTAAATAATAATCACTTGTTATTGTTGTGACCACTAATTGATATGACTTGTCGTTGTTGTTGTTGATCATTACCAACGATGTCGTCGTCGTCATCGTCGCCATCATCTGCTGCTTCCGCCTCCAACTCCAGAAGCGACCGACTGCTCGAACTGAGCGCCAAATACGTCCGCTTCGAGTCGGTATCTAAATCGGTAAATGTTTTCTACGATGAGGCCAATCAACATGTATTTGTGGTCAACAATCGATGCGCCGACGGTGTTATTGTCGACAGTGTTGACCAAACTATTGCTAAGTTTAAGTATGTATTCGTGTGTTATACAACCCGATCGGTGACCACCAAATGATTTATATTAAAAATGATTTTTTGTTTGTCTTCACCGGCGATATATGATGTCATTTACAGACTCGAAGACAGAGGCGATGTGTTGTCCATAAAGTTTTCGCCGGCCACCGATGTGTTGGCCATTCAACGATCGGCCAATACGGTCGAGTTTATTAACTTTGCAAACGGACAGCCAAGTGATCACTATTCGCAACCATCGAGAGTATGAAATTAAAAGAAATAAAACAAAAAAGTTTTTTTTATAAATTTTGTTTAAAGATATGTTAACTCTTTTGTCTTTGTCTGACAGTCGAAGAATGGCAAAGTCTTAGGATTTGTTTGGACCAATACTTATGAAATGGTTTACATTACCGACAACAGCATCGAACTCTATCAAGTGGTTCCCGAAAAACGAATCGTCAAATGTCTGAAAACGTTTGCCATAACTGTCTCGTGGTTTGTCTATGAGGTTTGAAATCTAATGGTTTTTTTAATAATTGATTTAATTAATTGATTTTTTTTGTTTGTTTGTTAATAATTAAGTCTCAATCAGCCGTCCTATTGGTGGCCAACGGAACGTTTGCCAATGCTATACAAGTGTTTCAATTTAAAGTTAGTTTTTTTATATAAAATTTTATTTTGTTTTAATTATCAACCAAAATATATGAAATAATTTATCGCTAATTGTTTGTGTGTTTTTGGTTTATTAGCCAAACACTGTGTTTAAGTTAACAAAATTTGAAGTCGACTGGAGTGGTGGTAAACAACAGAAGACAACAAAAACTGGTTTATATGAGAGAGATGTTGCCGTCACTAACATGTAAAACACAATTTGTTTTTTATGTTATAATATATATATAATTTACATCAATTGGTTAATCTAATTGAAAAATTATCGGTAATTGTTTTTAAAAGTTATGGCAAAAATCGTTTACTAGTGCTCAAACATCATCCGGTAACCAAAGAGCAAAGTGGCGCCCATATTGTCATCTATACGTTTGCAAAGTATTATTATTATTATTAAGATTTATAAGTTTATTGAATTAGAAATTATGTATTTAATAATTTTTTTTTGTAATTTTCAAATACAGAGATTTAGAGCCTCAAAAAACTGATATTTTAATGCTTAACCTAACCGGTCGTTTTGCTATCAACATAGTTGATGATCTGGTTATAGTTCATCACCAGACTAGTCAAACATCACTGGTTTTTGACATAAATTTGCCATCAAATGAAACAATAGGCAATATTAAAGTTAATTATCCGATATTTTCCAATTGTACGATAAAAGCATTTAAATTGGACGATAATATTGATTGTGAACTTTGTAAGCGATTTTTAATGTAATTTTCTATTATTAGTTTAGTTTTTCATAATAATTATTTTATTGTTTGATTGATTGATATATTTATTTACTATACCGTAAAAAAAGATTCAACAAATTGGGTTATATTTCAGCCAAATATCATAATCGATGCTAAACTCGGTTGTCTTTGGTTTTTGCAAATCAATTTGAAGCATATGATTGATTTGTTGCCAAACATTCAAATTTTGATCGACTTTCTTATCTATCGGCGAAACTCGAAGTCATGTTTGCTTCGAGTAATCAAACGATTTATTAATCCGAATCCTAACAGCGAAGATAGTCCGCAAAACCAATTGGGAAATTTGTCGGTAGTTTTCAACAAATTAAACGCCGCTTATAGGGAAACATTGACTTCAGAGATGACAACAACAACAACATCATCAACAACAACAACCCATACAAACCCGAACCATGTATTAGACACAAACAAACTGAAAGCCCGGTCAATCATTGAACAGAAGGACGTCTTTTCCGAAGTGTTTTCAGTTTTTGACGAACAAAATATTGTAAATTTCATTTGTGTTTTTTTAATTGACCGTTAAATTGATTTTTCTTTTTAATTTATTTTAAGGGTTTGGATCAAAACATGATAATATCGATACTATTTGAATACATCTATTCATTGTCGACAAATCAAATTCAAATCCAATATTTTGTCTACGAAGTACTGATCCGACATTTGGTCCGTTCGGAACAGTACTATCAAATGCATCAGTTTCTCCAGTATCATGTCTTTACCGACTCGAAACCACTGGCCTGTCTACTCCTATCGCTTGAACCACACTATAAATTTGCTGTTCAACTGGCACTGGATATGTTGAAACGATTGACGACAGCCAACGAAGAGATAATCGAAGTATTGTTATCGCAGTACCAGATTTCAAGGGCCTTACGATTCATTCAATCGCACGGCAATATCGATAGTATATCTGCCCGAAAGTTTCTGGAAATTGCCACCAATTCTGGCGACAATAAACTATTTTATTCGGTTTACAAGTTTTTCGAATTAAGAAATCTTCGACTTCGAGGATCGCCAGCATTTGCTAACGGTTTGCTAACTGTTTATTGTTTATATAATTTTTCTATTTATGAATAATATTTGGCGTTTTAATCGGTGCTAATAATAATTGTTTTCTTTTTTTGTGGTTATATTTAGGCGAACATTGCGAAACATATATCGAACATTTTAGCAAATTGTTTGGCAGTACTTCCAGTCTACCTGTCCACTGATCAACCAATACAAACGGTTAAAATAACGAAAAAATATACGTTTTTATTATCTAATACTTTTTTGAACTGTGATATATCACTTGGTATTGTAAAAACAAAACAAAAAAGATATATAAATTTGTTAATTAATTGAAAAAAAATTAAAATTGATTATAAAATTTGTTAATTAAAAAATGCTAAAAAAATCCTAATTTAAAATTTGTTGTTGTATTTGTATGACTTGGGAATGGTATGGTTGTTGGTTGGTTGGTTGGTCTTCAGCAATCAGCACTTTCCCAAAACCATAGCCAACAGTGCCATCCGGACAAACATACCGTTCTCTGCTTGTGTAAAATAAACGGCTCTCTTATCGGAGTCGAACTCAGGCCTAAAAAATTAATTATTATTTATTTATTTTTGTTAAAGATATTGATAATAATCATCAAAAAAAACATACGCTATTTCATTAACTCTGGGCAATGGATGCATAACAATCATATTGGACTTGGCTTTGGTCATCAACTGTGGTGTTATAATGAAATGATTGCAACAATTTTTATAGTCCTGTTCACTTTGGAACCGTTCCTTCTGAATACGTGTCATATACAAGACATCCGTATCGGGCAGTGCCTCGTGTAGTGATTGAGTTTCCAAAAATCGGATACCTTTCTGAGCCAAAAACTGTTTGATTTCATCGGGCATTTTCAGCTGCGGTGGCGATACAAATTGCATTGTTATACCGTAATAGTTGGACAACATTCGGGCCAATGAGTGGACAGTGCGGCCATTAAGCAAATCGCCGACTAATGTAATCTATAATTTGATTATAATTATAATGATAAAAACATCTGATATCTTCAGTAATACTGTTTACTTACCATTAAATTATTAACAGTTCCGATGCTTTCTCTTATGGTAAACACGTCGAGCAATGCCTGTGTCGGATGTTCGCCAATACCGTCGCCGGCATTGATAATAGGCTTAGCCCACGATCTGGATTTGGCCACTCTATTGATGGCATGCTTTTCTGGATGTCTGATGACAATAACATCAGTATAATTAGCCATTATATGAACCGAATCGTCAAGTGATTCGCCTTTTTTGGCCGACGAAGACTCTTCGTTCAAATTGACGACCGAACCACCCAATCGATGCATAGCCGCCGCAAACGAACAACTGGTTCGCGTACTGACCTCATAGAACATCAATGCCATTACTTTGCCTTTCAGTATGTCTTCAATACGTATGATCTGACCATCTCTTTCTAGCGGTTTATCATTGAGGACACACAACCGAAACTTATGGGCCAAATTGAACAACTCGTGCAACTGTTCCCTATCGAAGGCATCAACCGATAGTATATCGTGACCAACGAGTCGGTTATCAATGTTGGGAACCGGAGATATAATTGGCCCTATTTTAGCATTGGATGGACTGTTAAGCATTACTGTTAGGGGTTTTTTCAGCTGATTCTGAGCCTTTAGATTCTGGGCCGGAATTTCCAATTCTGTGAGCATTTCCGTATAAATTTCATGAGTTTGGCTGAGCTTTTGATGGTTAACTAAATTTTGAAATCCAACGGCAGTCTCGACAGGCGATGGTATGGAACCGTCGCCTTCCAGTTTGAAAACATTTTGTCCGAAATGTTTGTCGACTAATACCTGGCCGTCGACAAAGGCAACCGTATCGCGCATAACAACACGTCTGACTCGTCCGTAAACTTTCCGACCGGCAAACGGAGTCCAACCGGCCTTCGAGAATGGCATCGCCTCAGGTATTATCCATTCTTCGTTTAGATCGACCTCTATATAGGTATTCTTCTGTTCGGGTATATTGAAGATACGTCTGGGATTGTAACACAACTTATTGAGTAAGTCATCGATTGTCAATCGGTTCTCTTTGACGGCTGTCAACAACAACGGCAATGTTGTCTCAAGTCCGGGAAAACCGGGCGGCGAATTAGGTCCCACTTTTTCACTGCTAAGATGTGGTGCGTGATCCGAGGCAATGATGTCGATGATGGCTAAGTTGTTCCACAAAGCCTGTTGATCTTTTTTCGTCACCAAACATGGTTTAACATTACTTCTCGATTCACCACCAATACATTTGATGTCATCTTCGGTTAGGAACAGATGATGCGGTGATACTTCGCAGGTAACTTTGACGCCCTGTTCTTTGGCTTTCTTGATCACTAGTATCTCCTCTTCTCGGGCCACATGGCATATATGAATGGGCTGTTTGTAGAGATGTGCCAACGATATGATGGCAGCAGTTGTCTGGCGTTCGGCGTGAACACAGATCGGTATGTCTTTTGGCCAACACTCGAGATGTTTCATCCAATCGGTCATATTTGGCAAACAAAGATCACCGAACGTATTGTTCAAATACATTTTCAGCGACAGAATGGGATTCTTTTTGGCTAATTTGGCCACAATTTCGGCATTACTACTGGTGGCGCCCAAAAACAATGCATAATCACATTTGGCTTTAGTTTTGGCCAAATTGGACACATCTGAATAGGTTTCGGCATCAGTGATGGCAGGCTTGGTGTTTGGCATCTGTTTGATTATTTTTCATTAGAAGACATTATTAGGCAATTGATTCAAAAAATGGATTAATTATATAACATACCACTCCTATTAAAGTGAAACCACCGGCTAATGCGGCTTCTGTTCCCGATTCCCTGAAAATTAAATGACCAAAAATTAAGCCAAATTCATATGAATTCGTTTATAAAACCAGTCAAATACCAGTCCTCTTTGTGCTCATCGCCCGGTTCTCGCAGATGCACATGAATGTCAATAAGTCCCGGAAGTCTGATTATTTTGCTGGCCGTCAAACAATCGATATGCGTTTTGACCGGTGGCCGACCTTCGACCAACTGAAGCGCCTGTACCAACAGTTTGGTACACTTTACATCAGATATGAGCGGTACCGAGTGGTCGACAGCGAAACGTCGGGCATAATAACCGATTGTCGATACTCGGCGATTGCCCGAAGTTCTCATCGGTATATTGATTACCAAATCAAACTCTTTGGTCGACAAATAGTTGGCAATATCGTTGAAACGGCAGACTTTGTCTTCGTCATCGAATGGCCACTCGACGGCCTCAACATTAATACCTGTAGAATATACGGAATAATCGGGTAATTTATTTATTTGTAAAATGCAAATATAGAAGTGGTAAACCTTTTTCATTGTAAAAGTCAGCGGTTCCCAGACTACCAAACAAATGGAAACCTATATTAGATAAAGCTCTGTAAGGGAATAGTTAGATGATTAAGTCCACAAAGATATCCACAGAAAAAAATGTTTAAACCATTTATCTAATTATTTACCTAATACTTGGATATAATTCAATTTTCTGCCGGTGCTGTCCTATCGATATGAATACCCGTTTCTTAACCGGCAAACGAAAACCAGTCGAAAGCATAGCTTTCAGATATGCTTCATATCTGTTTACAACAAACAAACAAACAAAAAATTGTCAGAAAATTAAAACTATTCAATAACTTCGGCATCAGTTTGGTTGGTAATCCGTAATACCTGTTCTGACCAAAACAGGCCACTTCGCCAGTACTGGCCATTTCGACGCCTAGTGTTACGTCGGCACCGCTCAGTCGTGAAAACGAAAACTGTGGTACTTTGACACCAACTCTTCGCGGAATATAACCGTTTATCAGATCTTTGCCCAAAACAATATCAATGGGATCTACTTTGACACCCATAATCACTTTGGTGGCCAACGCCACCAGATCGCAGTTCAATGTCTTCGACACAAATGGAAACGATCGGGAAATTCGAAGATTGCATTCAATCACTTGAAGGTCGTCGTCTTTAGCGATCAGTTGCATATTATAGGGACCGTTGACCAACAGTTCTTTGCCAATGGCTTCGCAAATAACTTTGATATTTGCTAACGTTTTCGGTGTCAAATCTTGCGGCGGTGTTACCAAAGTGGCGTCACCGGAGTGTACGCCAGCGTTTTCCACGTGTTCCGAGACGGCCATACATACAAGTTCGCCGTCCTGGGCAACAGCGTCGACATCAATCTCTTTGGCATCGATTATGAACTTCGAGATGACTACCGGATGTTCCTTCGAGACAGCCGTCGCTTCATTCAAATAGTTTTCTGTCGAGAAAATCATTAGTTAGGATAATGTCTTTTTCAATAGTATCCCGATTGGTATCGGTGTGTGTGTGTGTGTGTGTGTGTGTGTGTATTACCTAAGTTACGCTCCGAAGTGGCCACATTCATGGCAGCACCCGATAGCACATACGATGGTCTAACAATACACGGATAACCATTACGTTTGCAAAATTCTTTGGCTTTGTCTATTTCGGCCACTTTCACCCAAATCGGTTGATGAATGTTCTTCAGGTCCAACAATCGGGAAAATTTGTACCGATTTTCGGCATTGTCTATCGATTCGGGTGATGTGCCCAATATTTTTACATTCTGGCCGAACAAATCCATAGCTATATTGTTGGGCAACTGTCCGCCCATACTCAAGATAATACCTTCCGGTGCCTCCAAGTGATAGATCTCGAGAACCGTCTCAAACGATATCTCTTCGAAATACAATTTGTCGCACATGTCGTAATCGGTACTAACTGTTTCCGGATTACAGTTAACCATAATCGTCGACTTATTCATCTTTTTCAGCTCCTGTACGCAACCAACTGAACAACAATCAAACTCAACCGATGATCCAATCCGATAGACACCGCTTCCCAATACCATAACAGCGTTATTGTCATGACTATCGATATCACTTTCTTCGGCATTATAGGTCAAATACAAGTAGTTTGTAGTGGCCGGCCATTCGGCTGCCACTGTATCCACTCGTTTGACAAACGGTTTGATATTGTTTTCGTCTCTCAGTTTTTTGATCACCAATTCGGTACTTTCGACGCATTGGGCAATCATTTTATCGGAAAAGCCTAACCTCTTGGCTTTAAGCAAAACAGCGGCCGTCAAACCGTCGGTAGTCTGCAGTGACTTTAATTCTTTGAGCTGATCGATAATATTTTTGAACTTATAGAGAAACCATTCATCAATTTTGGTCAACTCATACAACTGGTCAATAGTCCAGTTGTCATAGAGAGCGGCGGCCAAAGCAAAGATACGTTTATCGGTTGGCGATTCTAACTCCTGTTTGTTTGGTTTCTTGAGAAACGGATCTAAACCGTCGACTGTTTCGTCGACCATTCGCAGAGCCTTTTGAAACGCTTCCTCGAAAGTCCTGCCGATTGCCTAATAGAGTAAAGCATAACATATTGTGTTGATTATCACATATCAGTTCCCTGTAAAATGAAGTGATTTTAAAAAATATATACCAACCATAGTCTCGCCGATACTCTTCATGGAACTACCGATTTGATGACTAACGCCCGTAAACTTTCCCAAATCCCAGCGCGGAATCTTCACCACACAATAGTCCAGTGCCGGCTCGAAACAAGCGGTCGTTTCATTGGTAACACTGTTGACCAGTTGCGACAGCGGTATATTGAGAGCTACTTTGGCCGCAATGTAGGCCAACGGATAGCCAGTGGCTTTCGAAGCTAATGCCGAACTTCGGGACAGTCGAGCATTGACTTCGATTATGTAAAATTGTTCGGATTCGGGATTCAGCGCGTACTGGATGTTACATTCGCCGATAACACCCAAATGTCTGACCACTTTGATGGCCATTGTCCTTAACTTATTGTACTCATAGTTGGTCAGTGTCTGACTCGGCGCCACCACAATGGACTCACCGGTATGAATGCCTAACGGATCGACGTTTTCCATATTACAGACAGTAATACAGTTATCGTAGGCATCCCTCAGCACCTCATACTCGACTTCCTTCCAACCTTTCAGACTCTTGTCGAGCAAAACCTGATTCGAGTTAACCAACGCCTGGCTAACAATCTGTTTGAGTTCTTCGGGTGTGTTGGCAAAGCCCGAGCCGAGACCTCCCAAAGCATAGGCAGCTCTGGCCAGTATCGGATAACCCAATTGTTCGGCATAAACTAAAGCTTCTTCAACCGAATAGGCTGCACGACTCGGTGCTACTTCGCCGCCAACTTCGGTAACTTTTTGCGAAAATATTTCTCTATCTTCCGAATCAATAATCGATTTGATTGGTGTTCCCAATACTTCTACATTATAGTCACGCAAAACTCCGCTTTTCTCCAATTCAATGCCACAATTGAGAGCTGTCTGTCCGCCAAACATAAGCATAACACTGTCGGGCCGTTCCGATCGGATCACATCTGTTACATAATCCAAAGTGATTGGCAAGAAGTAGACTTTATCAGCCAAACCAGGCGTTGTCTGAACGGTGGCAATGTTTGCATTGATGAGAACAGTTTGGATCTTCTCTTCTTTTAGGGCTTTGATCGCTTGCGAGCCCGAGTAATCAAACTCGCCGGCCTGTCCTATGGATAGTCCGCCAGAACCGAGAATCAAAACTTTTCGCGGTTTCTTGGTCGTAACCATCGATGAAATGGTGGTCAACGGGAAATACTTTCGGATCCGATCGGCAATTGATATAAACGGATCATTAAGTTTTTTCCGATGACTGGTTACAGTGTCGAGAAATACATCAAACAAAAACTCCATGTCCTCGGGTCCAGCTGTATGTTCCGGATGAAACTGGACACTGAAATACGGTTTATTTTTGTGAGCAATTCCTTCGTTGCTATTGTCGTTGGCATTAGTGAACAATGGGATCCATTCGTCTGCTACGGGAAACGATTTGACATCGACAGCGAAACCGTGATTTTGCGATGTAATACAACAGCTGATTGTGTCCAAAAACAGTGCCGGTTGATTGTGGCCACGATTACCGTACGGCATTTTGTATGTTTGGGCACCGGCCGCTTTGGCTAACAATTGATGTCCCAAACAGATACCAAATATGGGACATACGACAGTGTCGCCGGTAATCAGTTTCCGGATGTTTTCAATAGTTTTTGTACATTTGTCCGGATCTCCCGGACCATTGCTGATGAATATGGCGTCATAAGTGGCCGGATTGTCGGCAAACGGATAGTCCCAACCGACTACTTCAACCCGAGCTCCTCTGGCCGCCAGACATCTGATTTGATTGTATTTTATGCCACAATCGACGGCCAATATTCTTGGCGATCCTTTCTGGTTGTAGACAACTGATTGTTTGATGGAAACATCTTCGACCAGATGATCCAAATTGGGATCACTGAATGACAATTCATTGGCAATAACAATATCTTTGATGACCAACTTAGCCAAACAACTGCCACTATTACGTAAATATTTTGTCAGTTTTCTAGTGTCGATACCCTGGACTCCGGGAACTTTAAAGGCTTTCAAATACTTATCCAATGACTGGCCGGCATTCCAGTGGCTATAGTATTCGGAATACTCGCCGACAATCAAACCGATTGGCCATATCTTTGACGACTCAAACCACTTCGGTAGTCCCCAATCATCTGTTAGTATTTGGTTAGTATCGGGAACACCATAGTTGCCTATCAACGGATAGGTCAGAACCAGTAGCTGTCTATGATATGACGGATCAGTTAGTGACTCGACATAGCCGACCATTCCTGTCTGGAAAACTAATTTGCCGACAATTTTTGTTTTAATATATTAATGAATGCTATGAAATCAATTGGACGATTGATTGGCAAAAATACAGACCAACTTCTCCGGTGACATTGGTCTCGTAGCCGAAGTGATGGCCGGCAAAAGTAGGACCATCTTTAAGGATGAGGAATGCATTCATACTTTTTTTCTTGTTTTATTTTATCACTTAAAAAAACAAAACTATCAACTAATCTATAAAACTATTTTGACAAACAATTTTTTTAGTTGTTTATTATAAAACAAACTTTTTATTATTTTTTTAGGAAATCTTTTTTTATTATAAATATTTTGTCGTCTAATTAATAATAATATACTTTATATATATATATATATATATATATATTAATATAATCTCTAACTACTATTTGAATGACATTGAAAGTGAATGTCTGAAACAAAAATCTGGCTAAACATTTGAAATATTAAATATCTTTCAACTATTTCATTGGACTTTAGGACACCCAATAGATTGTTAATTTGAGAGCTATTTGATACTACTCTACATATAATATATTTTAAGTGAAATTTGAAAACCCGTTTTTTTTATTTTTACAATATTATTATTATTATTATTTTTATAAATTTATATCATATATTGATATAACATATTATGATAATAAATACTTTATAAAAATAAATGCATGACTGGAATGACTATTGCAAAAAAAAGTTTGCACACAAAAACACATGACATGCACTCACTGTACACGAGATTATTATTATTATTACAAGTGATTTACTGATGATTATAAGTAATTGAAATTTTCAAAAGTAAATGTCTGATAACGAGTGTGTTAGCACTGGTAGCTGACAAATAGATAGGTAGCCCCAAGTTGGCCCCCAACAACACAAGAGAGAGAGAGAGAGAGAGAGAGAGAAAGAAAGATAGCCATCTCATCTATCATAGTGTCCCCAAAAACTATAGCTGTTTTATGGTATCAATGGTAATGTTTTGTCTGTCTATATGTGTGTGCCATAAATAAATAACCGATTTTTATGAGACATAATAATTTAAAAACAATTTATCTTTTTTTAGACAATTTTATTTTTATTGTCAATTAATCAATAATTAAAAAAATACACAAATGTCTAAAACGATTCTTACAATTATTATCAGTTTTAAATGTTTTAAAAAACAATTTCAGCTCAAATATTTTTATCAATAATAATAATAGTAATATATTTATCATAATATGAATATTAATTAGTTTTTAAAAAGAAAATTATTATATATATATATATTGTATATAAACAGTGAATCATTGTTAGAAATTAATAAAATACTTATATAATAATAATAATATCGTATCAAAGTATACAATTAAAAACTAAAAATATTAAGTGCATAAAGAAATAATTGATTAATTATTATTAATAATTAAAAAAAATGTATCACAAAAAAGGCAGCAAAAAATTAAGTAATCGTTAGATTAAAATATCTGAATTTTATATAAAAAAATTATAATATAATGACGTGAAATAGTAATATATTTATGTAAAATGTAATGCAATTGTTGTTTCTCTCTTCAAATTTATTGGACGGCATTTCCAGAATCGGGAACCACTTCCGACTTGCGTTTAACAACTTCTGCCACTTTTTCGCCCTTTAATATATATATACAGTATATATGAAAAAAATATAATAAACAAAACAATTATTATCTAATATATAATCAATATATAATATGACATAATTAACAACTAATTGTTGCTATAAAAACAACAACAAATTATTAATAAATATTTAGTACAGTATAATAGTTAATTCAATTTTTAATTTTAATGCCAAACGCGAAACCGCAACCAAATCATTATTTTATTATTATTATGATTAGTATATTAATTAATTGATAAATATTACTATTAGTAATGTATATTAATAAATGTGCCTCAAGTTAGTGAACTAATTGACTACAACAACAACAACCTTAAGCAAAAAAAAGTCCTAATATATGGAAACCGAGTTTTGTTACTAATAATACACAAACGTTATAAATATATAAAAATATATATTATATCATTGTTTTATCTATAGCAGAGAAAATTAAATAATTAGATTATATGTGAAAAACCATAATAATAATAGTAATCTAATTTAAATAATAGCTATTGTATTATTACAATAACCCAATAATAATATAGAAAAATATATATACAATATTGCTAACCTATTCATCCTATATATATATATATAACCATTTTTAAAATATAAAATGTGTCTAATGTGTCAAATTTATACCCAACCCAATTGACACAACAATTAAAACACCCGGTTTCCGTATAATGAACTCATAGAAATAGATATATACCGTATAGTACCGATAACACAGTGTAGACACACTCTACTGGGTCAATGCCAAAAGACTAGGCTACTAATAAGCACCGGTATATATAGATAAGCGGAAAAAGTAGGGGGTGGGGTGGATGTAGTACACATATTGAATTGTTGTCATACATAATTGGTTTTCAACCGATCCGTTCGTGTCTTTAAAAATTGTGAACGCTTTTCATTAGCGATGGCTATCTGTTTGCAATGGGGTAGCGAACAGCATCGGCTCTCTTTAGCCAACTGTCCGTCTCTATGGCTGGCATTCACACGATTGATACGAGTCTTCTAATTATTATTATTATTATTAAATTTAGTCAATTGTTTTTTTTTAATAATTAAATTACGGGTTAAAATTGCCAATAAAATTATGGGTTATTTTTTTAAAAACCTTATCCCTTTATATGATAAAACAAACCGATATCACCGTAAAGTATATTATAAATCTGTTATTTGAATAGTAATTTGCTGGTATTATATCCAAATAGTTAGTCTTAAAGGCAAACAAATGTTTTTAGATGTCGTTTCTTTTTAAATAAATCAATATCTTTAGCACCGGATTAGTTGTTAAGTGTCGACACACCGACCATACAAATGGTAACTCACGTGCTCTTTAAGTCTCTCGAGTATGTCTTTGACAATCAGTTCCCTATTTTTCTGTGCATTTCTCAGTTTCGACTCTAATCTCGACTTCAATGAGTCGCTGCAGATGTGTGTGTCATCTACTTGTTTGCGGACTTCATCTACACGTCTATCCTATAGTTTTTTTTGGTGGCAATTCATTGCAACAATCAAATACAATATCAACACAAAAAATAAACCCATTTTTTAAATTATCAAAACTGAATAGAAATTTTTTCATAAGTATTAAAATATAATAAATATATTTATATGAAAAATATTAACGAAAACTAACAATAGTTTATTATCAAAGTATATGAGTCAACTAAATGGACAAAAAATTTATGATAATTATATCATATAATATCTTGTCTTACGGTAAGTGTGTATATACACCTCCCAGATTAGGAGGTCTGGGGGTCTCTCTATAAGCCAGCACTCAAAACACAGACTAACCATTTATCAATCAATCAATCAATAGATAGATAAACACATAATGTTTTTCATCAACAAGTTGTCGATGTTTTTTTGGCATCAAAACATATCATTAAATCAATAATATTAACCGAAATCAATGGTAAAAAACATCAAACAATGACATACGTGTTCCTTCTGTTTTTCCTGAATGGCTTTGATGTGTGTCTCGCGATTCTCTTTAGACGCTTCCATCTTCTTCTCCAACGACTGACGAGTCAATTCGATCTTTTGTTCTTCGATTTCCGATCGCTTGTCCTTCAGTTCCGAAACATGACTGAACCGTTCTTTTGCCTGAAGAATCTTCTGGGCTTCGAACGATTTGCGCCGTTCTTCGGCTTCCTTCAGTTTGGCCTCAATCACTTCGGCAGACAATTGTTTCGGCTGATCCAGTGGTCGACCCACCACTTTCGGTGGCGTTTCGTTCGATGGCTTTTCCAAAATCAACTCATACTTGAGGCCACCCTTGCTCTGGCTCGGGCTTAGGAGGTTATCGGCAGCTGAAAAATCAATCAAAATTTTATCAATTAATTTATCACTTTTTAATAATAATATTAAAAATATATCAAAAGATATTATATAATATATATTAATATAAAATTCAATGATACCATCAAATAATCCGATTGTCATTATTATTATTAATAATATTGATATCAAAGATAACAATCAAAGTTATAATAATATGAAGTGTTATGTAATGTAAAGAACTAATCAATTGAATAGTTTGTTGTCAACTGAAGACAACTAACGAAAGAGTGGTTGCCTTTTATAAACCAGAAAAAGTCATCTGAAAATTGATGTCATATAACATATATATATATATATTATATAATGACTTAACACAAGAGAAAGAGAGGAGTCAGTCACGTGAGGTTAACGACCCGTCAAAAAGATGTTTATCCAGACTAACACTAAACATACAGTCAGTATTTGGGAGACCGACTGTCCGCCTACTGGTGCCAATGGATCAGCTTAAGTGGTGATTGGCTAACACACCGCACGCAATATTCTTTGGTCGACACAGCTTCTGGTGGTCACCCAGTGGTTCCCATCTCTCTCTCTCCTCTAAATGGTTTGCCTCTCGTAATCGCTAATCACCGATAAAATCCTGTCTTTTATTTATTTATTTATTTTTCTTATTTTAATTTAATCCCTAAATATATAGTTATTATTTCTTTTAGTTTTTCATCATTATATTGTATTATTAAATATATAAAAATATTAAAAAACTTTATTCACAACTCATTTAATACGAAAAACTATTGCATTAATAACTATTATATTGCATTTGACTGAATCGATCGATCGATTAGTTATTAAATAACTTTTTATATAATACTACTAAAAATAAAAAAGAGTTAAACGAACCCTAAAATTCATACCAATATTTCAATAACTATATAATGGGTTAGAAATAAATTTAATAATAATAAAGCTGTTGTCTGGACTGACTCCCTGTCCTATCCTCTAAAATATACTGCAAATTATATATCTTCAATGATACACCAGACCCAACCCATACCATACCATACCAACAATACATTCAGTATTACAATACACACACAGTATAACACTCTGTGTGTATATACATATATAACTAGAAATATATAGCTTATCATTAGTGCAAAACTTTTTTTTATATTTCATATATATTTTTGTTGTTTTAGAAAAAAGTCATTTCATAATATGTTATGCAATAGTATTGCAGTCTATATAATCATTATATCGTATAATATATACTTATATGATAATATATATTCTGTATATATATAATAAAAAAAAATATATAGCAATAATTGTTAGACACATATGTATAATAATAATATACAGTAGACTATAGTTAAATGATAATGACTTTTATTATAGACAACACACACACAAAGCAATCATTTATTATTCATTTTATTTTTTATGACAAAAAAATATATGATATTATCATAATTTAGATATCTATTAATTGTCAGAGACTTTAAAAAAATAAATAAAATAACTAATAAATTATTGATTTATTTATTTTTCTAAAGTTATCATTTTCATTTCAATATATATATGATATTTTTTTTAAATGCTAAATATTATCAAATAAACAAACAAAAAACAATTTTCATTTAGTATCAATACATTTTGATTTTATTTAATAAAAAAAACTATGATATTTGATAATCAAAAAAAAAAACAAATTTTGAAAGTTTTTTTTATCAATAAATTTATTTTTTTTAAAAATTTAATATTAATCAATCAAAGAAGTTGTGTCTGGGATCAAATAGTGATCACATTTTTTTTAAATAACAAAAAAATCTTATTAATAGATAACCAATATTTTGAATCAAACAATTGGTTTCATTGATATTGAAAAAAATGGTTTTTTAAAATAAAAGACTTTTAAAAACAGACAGAAAGAGGACTTACTTTCAGACATTGTTTTGTTTTTCGCAAAGACTTTGTGTGTGTTTGTCGACAACAACTATGGGTAGGTATGGATCAGATAAACAGATAAACAAAACTTGGTGTCCAACCAATTACTGTTGTTGTGTCAGCGATAATATCTGCAGTGATAGTCGTTATCAGAAGAAGTGTCACCAAACAGACAGACAGATAGACAACTAACTATGGGATGAGTCACTCAAATACTGTCGGTATGACTGTATGTATGTGTGAGGAGACAAAAGACAGGCATATATTGAGCGCCAAAAATAATAACCTAATAGTCAAACACACTGTTTAGCAGTGTTGGCAGAGACAAAGTGTATGTATAATACAAAGCGTATTATACAGTATAATACAATGTAAATTACATGACAATTTTGGCTTACAAAAAAAATTTAGCGCCACCTATTAACCAAAAATACTAAAATTCACAAATAAGCACATGTTTTGTAATAATAATTATTTTTTATTTTGAAAAAATTTGAAATTAGCTAGTCAATTTAATTCTGGTATTGAAATATATTAATAAAATAATTAATATTAATTTTTAATAGTTTTAGAAAACAACGATTCTAATAACAATATTGAAATTATGTAATAATAATTATTTTAATTAAAAAATGAATATTTTATCATTGTTAATATAATTTTTTATAATTGTAAAATACATCCAGTACATTGTATTTTACTGTATTTTACAAAGCCAAAATTGAAAACCTTGTATTTTTCCAACCCTGCTGTTTAGTGTTATTGTGTTTTTAGTAGTAGTACTGTATGACCTACCCGTCCCCTCACTACTACCGTCCCCTATCAATGCAGTGGACTATCCACACCCTCTAATGCCAACTGCACTGTCAAACACTATGTATAGTACCGTATGATTTCCATTACATTTACAGAGTATTACAGACAATACTGCAGTCTATTAATTATTAGTATTATTAGTACAGTATTTGTGTGTTTAAAGCACTGGAAAAATATCATATAATTTGTTCAATACTTTATTGAATATTACAGTATTATTATTATTATTATTAATGGTTTAAGCATTAAATTTATTAATTAGTTTGACATATAGGATGACATCAATTGTTTGTTAGCTATTAATAATATTAATATATACAGTAATTATTTGCATAGTTTTCTGATTCAACAATTAAGTATTTTTTTGGTCAATGTATTGAAAATTTAAATTTTTTGTTAAAATATAATTTATATAAATTATTTAATATATAATTAAAACTTATATATTTTAGGAAATATGTTAAATTGTATGACTACTAGCCAATTAGCTATTATTGGTATTAAATGGCTAAAATAAATTTTTATTTTTGCCTTAATAAATAAAACAAAAAATTTAGCATAACTTACTTGAGGCTAACACTGTTACCAAAAAATAAAATAAAATTTTAGATATTTTAGAGAAAAAATATTTTTTATTTATAATTACAGTGTTGTTAACACTTTTATTAATTATAATTTTTCACACAAAAAAACTAATATTAGGAATATCAATTAATTTTAATTGTAACTATTTTTTAAATATATATATATATAAATTATTGATTTAAAAGATATTCAATTTTATAAATACAGTATACTATATAAACTAGTATTAGATTGTAAATGTAGATTATATATCTATTTATTTATTTTTTTTTAAAAATAAAACAATTTGAAACTGCAAGTAAAATACAAGTAGTATTATTAGATAACATAAAATCATTTAACTTAATTAACATTTTATTTAAAGCTACTATTAATATATTTTTACATTAAATTAGTTTATTTATTATTTTTTTTGTAGAAAAATTATAATTAGCTATTATATATTATTTGAATTGAAAATAATTGAAAAATTTATTTTTAAACAAATTATTTGATTTTTGTATTATAATATTATTATTAATTTAAGCTAACTTTCTCATAATTTTTTCCACATAAGATTAATACATTAGATACAGTACACCAAAAAAAATTGTTATCTTAAAAAATCAATACACTATATACAGGTATATAAATAGTATAATACATTTAAATATTATTAATATTGTTGTTTTTGTTTATTATTAATAGTTGCAATTTAAATACAGTATTAATTTAGATGCTATTTAAACTTTTACTGTACAAAATATATTACAATATATATATACACTGTATTATACAGTGTTTGTATATAAATAAACATTGTATATATTTTTTTCTGACTTAATTAATGTGAGAGTAACTTATTTTTTAAAAAGTGGACCATTGTTTGCAGGTATATAATGATTAGTCAATAGTTTTTTAAAAATTTTAAAAATAGTTTAAATTAGTCAAATTAATTAGATTTAATGCTAATTTAAATTCAATGTTATTATATCTGTTTGTTTGTTTGTTTTTTATTAAATATTAAGTTTATTTTTTAAAAAGTTATAAATTATAACTAATAATAATAAAAGTTCATTAAACCTGCTAACTGTCATCATATTAGATACTGTAGGGCCAGTAGTACTGATGACTATACGACTCCGGGAGATAGTGATTGAAGAGAGAGAGAGAGAGAGAGAGAGAGAGAGAGAGAGAGAGAGAGAGAGAGAGAGAGAGAGAGAGAGTTAAATATATGTCAATCTAAATGTTAAATATTAAAACTAGAGATAAAACTTTACATAATATGATAACATATAAATATAAAATATTTTGTACTCATATCTATTAATTGGTTTTGTCATCAAATATAAAGTTTTTTTTCTAGTGATATATTTGATCTCATAAAATATATAACTTTTTTTGAAATTAGGTATCATTTCGTATATGGTATTACTGTATTACTTAGCATTGAAATGATATTTATTTCAATTTAAAAAATTAAATACAAAACTGTTTGAATGAATTGAATTAAATTATTTGTGACTTACAAATTGTAAGTCACTTTAACATTTAAAAAAAAAAACATTTTGATTTATATATTATTTTTATGGCTAAACTTAGAAACGATTATTTTTGTTATCTAAAAAAGGTAAAGCTTTTTTACATTATATTTGTATTAACAAGAGATTAAATGTATTTATTTTATTTATTTTTTTGAATAAATAAATATAACTTATTTTATATAAGCAATGAAAAATTAAATTTAGATCACACAAAATTATTATACAGTGTATTATACATATATATAAAATTTATATATATTGAATACAGGTAAACTGCATTAACAATCCCACACATATTATATAAAAATATATATTTGCATTTTGACATACAATTTTTTTTGTTGAGTATATGATATCAAACTTTGCAATTATTATTATTATTATTGTATAATATTTTGTTTGCAAATTCATGTTATTTTTCAAGTTTAGTGTTAAACACAATTTTACATATTATTATTATATTGATATATACTGTAATATTTTTGTTGTAAATATAACTTTTGAGTATAAATTATAATATAGTATAAATATATATAGAAAAATCATTGTTTTTTATGTTTTATGATAACACGATTGCCAACTATTATTTTGCATTATTTATTTTTAGTAAAATTTTATTTTATTTATTTTTTTTGGATAAAATCTTTGATATATTATTATATAAATGAATAAATTATTTTTTTGTTGTTGTTATTGATATTAAAGATTAATTAATTTAAAAATATGAATTACATGTATTTTTTATGTTTGTTTGTGATTTATTTATATTAAGTATATATTTGATATAAAATTAATATTTTTTTCATAAAACTAAATACTAATGTATCACAATGTTATGTTACGGTATTTTTAGTATTAATAATTATCTTTAAAATATATCTGTAAATTTTAATTACCGATGAAAATGTTACCAAAAATAGCATTAAAATTAATTAAGATAAAAAAAATTTTTAATTATACAATTATTGATAAAAAAAATTAAATTTAACAAATATTTAGTGTACAAATACATGTACATATATAAAAATAACTAAATTAATTTTTATCATAATTAATTTTTATGGTTTGTTTTTTTGTATTTATTTTTCTTCGAGTTAATTAAACAAACAAACAAAAAATTAGTATTTCATTTGATTAAGCATTTATTATAATGATTGGTTGAAAAATCAATTAGTAATTGAGATAACAAAATTTGACAAATTATTTATCAATAATAATTTTTTTGTGGATACTTTTTTTTAATTGTTATTTAGTTAACAGAATACTGTATTACCGGTTTGTATGCAAAATAAAATTTAAAAAAAATTAAATAAAAAACTTCAATCCATTAACTTTTCTTTCTAAATCATTGGAAAATATTTAAAATAAATAAATATATTGAGAGATAAACTTATATACATATTATAAGTAAAGTATAAGTTATAGTCTATAACTTATAGATAGTGTCTTGATTTCCAACTAAAAAAATTATTTTGTCGGTTCAACGCTTATAACTGGGACATAGTATGTCCACCGAAGTTGACCAGTGGACGCTATTTCCGAAATTTTATTATAACTATAAATAACTATTTGTTGGGTTAGCAACTATAAAAACTTATAAATAATTATTTCATTGATTTTGATAAATATAAGCATTAAATTGTAAAATATTGCACAAATATATGTAAAAACAAAAAGTAATAGTTATATAAATTATATAAAATGTGTAAACTGTTATTAACTCATATTACTTTTTAACAATAGAAATAATTAGTTTATTTATATAAATCATTTTTGTAAATATGCTGAAAACAAGTGAATTATATATCAGTTGAAATATTTATAAGAAAATAAATAACTATTTCAATAACTATTTGGCTTTTTTTGGCAATTATATACAACTATTTAATACAGTTTAAATAACTATTTTAACAACTATTTGACTTTTTTTAGCAACTATTATAACAACTATTTAATAGAGTATAAAAAATTATTAATCAATACACTACTTATAGATTATAATTTTATACAAATGATTCATGTTTTTAAAGAGGGTTTTTTGTGTATGAAATCTACAGTATATAAACTTTTGATAAAAATTTCCCAATAATTTAGTACATCATTTAAAACTCACGTACAGTATAATACATAAATTTTTATTTGCCTATAAGTTATAGGCTATAACTGTATAAATATTAATAATTATTATAACAAACTTATCAAATGTCTTATATGTTGATTCATGTATTGAAATATATATATTTATGACTTTTATATCAGTTTCTCAATAATAATAAATCAAAATTTAGTTAAATTCAAATAAAGTAATCTATTACTAATACATCATATTTTTTGTAATCATATTTCTAGATATATACTGTATATAATATTTATAAAAATAATTATAATAAATTAATTCATAGTTAAACTTGAACTTTAGTTTATTATTATTATTATCAATTATTATTTAAATAATTTTTTCAAAAGTTATTATGCATTGAATTTAATACATTGCATAGCAATTTTAATTATCATTATAATCGCCATTAAAAGGGTTGAACACATTTATAAAAAAATAATGTTTTTTTCTAATATAGTATTTATCACATACCGGTAGTAATGTATATAATTGCTATTAAATTTAAATATTAAATACTTTTAATAGTATACTATATACAGTATATTATTTTATGCTAATATATAAAATATAACTATTATTATTATTAATAATATTAATTTGTAATTGCTTAATCTAAATAAATAAATTAGTCATTTATAATAATAATAATAATATTTTTGATTTGATTTTCAGGAATTTCAAGTATATGTATTGCAAATTAAATACATATATTTTCAACAACAAAAAAACAGATCATATTTTAATATTATAAGTTAAATGATGTGTTTAGTAATTATTTATAGAAATTTTCTAGAAATTCTGTGATATATTAGATTTAAATTTTTTTTCAATAAACACAATATAAATGTACAGTCAATATGTTTTTTATATAAATAATTATATTTAACTAATACAGTATTGAATTGAATTGACTGATATTTGAGTCAATAAATATTTTTTTAATTAATTAAATAAAAAAAATGTTTTGCAATGACAGAGAAATTACTGGAAATGAATGGCTCATCTGATTCGCCCATCGCTGGCATTACCAGAGAGGAGATAACAATTACCAGGAAGTGGTCCGCCCTATCAACTCATCATATAAAACCATTTAGACTGAAAAATATTTTTTGAAGTAAAGAAAAAACATTGACATAAACCACATATTTTTATTTAAAAACTCATATAGTTTTCTGTAAAAATATAATAATAATAACAATAATAATAATAAAGTAAATACCAGTAGAGAGACGACAACGACTTTGACTTTTAAAACAACATTTAGTATTAGTATTAAACTTGAAATACAGTACTGTTTTTGTTATAATTACTGTTATATATATTATTTGCCATACAATCAGTATTGACACGTTCAGTGACAATAAAAAAGTTTAGATACATTTTCACTAAATAAATAGTAGTTATTAAATAAATAAATATATATAATTGTCTAGTGTGTGATATTTGACTTTATATAAATAGACTAAATTTTTTGTATGTGATTGACAAATAAGTTATAATAATAATAATAATGATGACCACAAATATCTTATTGCTATTGTCATCGATTGTCATCATCATCGGTGGTCTACCCAATGAAATACAGGGTCAATGGCATTCCGATGGTTTTCAGTCAATGCATAACAAGTAAGTGATTGTATTTTGTTGTTATTATAACTTTATATAAGTTTTAAATATTTAAGTTTATATAAAAGATTTTTTTAAATCAATAAAAATAATGTATTATATAATAAAAATTTATATTATGTCAAATAGTTGGCTTAATATGATGGGAAACAGTCATAGAATAAATTCTATGCCGACTTTCGGTAGTCTAGACATGAGACTACCGGAGCGCGAATCGGCGGCCGAACCATTACATCATCAAGAGTTTGATCCGTCGGTTGTTGTCGTTGACAAAGGTTCTGCCGAAGACACGGAAGCGGAACCATCGCATGAATCGGAATCAGAAAATCCGTTTGATATGGATTTTCCGTTAACAATGGGTTTCAATAGACCTAACTTCTGGTCGTTTGGCTTACCATCGAGCCGTCAAAAGCCGTGGTGGAAGGGGTATGACATTGATAATGACTTTTTTTATAATTATTTATATATAGAGTCTCTCTCTCTTTCCTCTCTTTCTCTCTCTCTCTCTCTCTCTCAACTCTTTATCTCTTTAACGCCCTTTTTATTTAATAACCCGACACCTAGTCTAACAACTTATGGTGTTATGTGAACTATAAATAGGTTTTTATTTTGCAAAACTTTTTGTTGTTTTGTTTTGCTGTTTATTTGTTTTATTGAAATGTTTTTTTAAAAAAAAGAGGGTATGGGTTTTGCACAGGTATTAAAATGGTACAGGTAAAGGTATTACAAATCATAAATTTTTCAGTGGGAGATACAGTGTATACTGTATAGTATATACTCTCAGTACTGTACAGTATTGTACTGTTTTAATACAAACAAAAACAACAAAAAGTTTATGAGCTTTTTGTATTATAATCAGTAGTTTTTGTTGTTATTGCTATTAGTATATTAGGGTATTATAATATTATTAATAATATAACAATTGAATGAAGTTTTTCAATAAAAATGCAAATATAAATATAAATAAGAAAATATAAATAACAATTTCTTGACATTTAATCCATATTTTATTTTTTGAAAGACCATTGAATTATTTAAAAAAAATACATTACTTTAAAACATGTTATACAGTATTGTATTATATAACTTATATACAGTGTATTAGTGTATTTAAACTTTATWTTTTAAAAGTGCTAACAAACCCTCCCAACGCCTGCCAACTGTCCTAAACACACAATACAATAATAATACAATCAATTTTTAGGCTTTCCATCAATTAATTCAGGAAATCAATGAATCAAATTGTTATTGAATTGAATTTATTAAATTTGTTTGGTTCACATCCGCCCAATAAAAATTAAATTTTTCAAAAAAAAATTATTTACACTCCGAAAACTATATTATTAATACACACTATTAAAATTTTGTAATAAAAAAAATATATATACTGTATATACCGGTATATATAGTGTAGTTATCATCAAATCTATTAAATATAATTATGGCAAATTTATTTAACATAGCATAAGTTATTATACAGTATTTTATTTTTATTACAAAACTTGTTAAAAAAAACTTTTTATTATTAAATTGATATATTTATATTAAAAATGATTACTTAAAAAATAGGCCAAATGTTTGCATCGAGAAAAAGGTCATCAAAGGTGATGAGGCCGTCATTAGTACCAAAACTGGTGGTCTGGAGGTCGAGGATCAAAGTCCGACAATGAATATGCAATTTCAATCGTTTGGATCCAATTTACGCAACTCATTGAGTCTTCAGTCAACTTCTTGCAGTGAATCCGACACTTCCTATACATGTGTCTCAAAGTTTGTGATAATTAAAACCCAAATAAAAATAAAATTCTAATTTAAATAATTATTAAATTTTAAATTAAATTATAGACTAATTAAAGGCAGAGAAAATACGACAACAATTGTTAAGCGTCAATGTTGTCACGGATTTTTCAAAGATACCAGTACTGGATGTACTAAAAGTAATAAAAAAATATGGAACAAATCTATATTATAGACAGCCAGTAGAAAATTATTTGCCCCAAACCCACCCCCACCCACCCAACCACTTCCTAACCTCACACTCACCCAAACTAACCTAACTAAATAATAAATAAGTAATAAAACTAACATTTTATAAATGTTTAATTGCATAATAAACAATACTTTTTTGCTGGCTGTCTATAATATAGATTTAAGCCAAAAATATATATAAATAACTAATTAATTAATTAAAAAATTATTATTTAAAAAACAATTAATTAGCCAATAAGTCAAGAATAGCCTATAAATATTTAAAGTCGTTTATAAAAAAAGACAATAAATATTATATAAATTTATTATTAAATATAATTTATTGATATATATATATATTGATTTTTTATCTATATTTTCTATCACTAATCTAGTGTTAGAATCATAATTACAATTAATTATTGTATTTTTGTTGTTGCAGTGAATCTCAAGAGTTTGGTGGAGACAATGAAAGATCTTAATGCTAATCGTATGTTAAAATTAATTGAAAGGTTCGGTATGTCCAACATTTTGGTCGCCGATAATATCACTGTACTGGCCGTTATCGATGAATCGCTAATTGAATTAGAAGACAATGTGACCAAAGATGAGGTAAATATGACATCTGATATATAATCTGTTGATATGATTGACATTAAGAAAGTTTTTTCAACAACAAAAAAATCTATTAATTGTAATCCATTGTTCAAAGAATGAAGTGGAAACACAAGACTTTTCCTATCCATCGGCTGTCCGGCGAAGACGTGAAACAAATACAATGCCCGACTCGATTGCAATGCATTTGTTGCCCGGTTTTGTCAGATCTGGCGATATGAACGACGACGTACTGGTGCCTACACTGAGTCCCTCCAAACAACAGATCCGATTCAATGTCTATCACACACACCCTAGACGAGTGGTCACTGCCAACTGTGTGCCACTGGTGTCGACCAATAACTATGCCATCAATGGTATTGTTCATATAGTCAACAGAGTGATGCCGTCGCCGACCAAGACGTTGAAACAAATCATTGAAAACGATGATCGGTTTACAATTCTTGGACAAAGTAAGTGTCATTGAATAGGTTAACAATTTTTTTTTTGTAAGACATTACTAATTGTCATTTAATTAACTTTGACAGTATTGTCGAAGACTAATCTAATGGATCAGTTGAATGATAGTAAACAACATATAACTCTGTTGGCGCCGACCGACGAAGCTTTTCGACGACTAGACAGCCTATATCTGGAAAGACTACTCAAAGGACAGTCGTGTGTCGACGCATTGCTCAACAATCATATTATTGGTGACACTCTTTGCCTGTCAGCCGTACAAGAGTTTGCTTCAGTGAGAAATAGATTGGAAAAACTGTTGCCAATCAAGAGAGTCAATCAAAAAGTTGAGATCAATGGCATAAATGTTGTGGAAAGCGATCAATTGGCCACTAATGGTGTGATTCATGTCATCGACGGAGTCATTTCATCAGTTGAATCGCAACCCATATCCAAGTTTCTCGAGAAACACCAGTTGACAGACTATATGAAACTGTTGAACGATTCGGGTCTGTTAAGCGAATGGGACGGACTGACTAATGTGTCGTTTTTCATACCGTCGAAGAATGCAATGAGAAGCCTATCGCAGCCGGATTTGGACAGAATTCGCAACAATACTAGAGATCTGATTGGCTATCATGTGGTCCCAACCAAATCAGAAGTATGCGACTGGACTGAAGATCAACTGATGAGGACAATGAGCGACAAAAATCAGATGATGAGAATCAATATGTTTGGCAGCGATATACTTGGATTCAGTTTGAGACCAGTGGTTACGGCTCAGTGCGCGCCGATTATTGCGCCCAATCAAGACATATGCGGCGCTTCCATATATGTTGTCGACCGCTTTCTTCAGCCATCCAAAGGCACTCTACTGCAGACACTCGACTCGATGGAAAACTTGTCTATTATCCGGCAAATTGTCCAAACAAGTGGCATCCAAGAACAGTTGACTGCTAACGGCACCTATACATTGCTGGCACCCGATGATGAAACTGTACGCAACTATTATTCTGTACCGCAAATCAATTCAATGGTCAGCAATCAGAATGAATCGGAAAAGTTTATCAAAAGACATTTGTTTGGAGAAATTATCTGCTGTTCGGGTAATTATAGATATATATAAAGAAATTATTATTATTTAAATGTTTTTATATATTTACCGTATATTTAAATTTCTAAAAAAGGAGTTAACAATTCGCCGCTATTTCTGAGTTCGCAAGAGTTCCGAAATTTGGACGGAAAGTTGGTGTCCGCCCATCGGTCGTTCGCGGGTCGGGTTCGATTCGGTACGGCACAGGTCACCCGTTGCGACCAAATGGCCGACAACGGAGTCGTTCACGTAATCAATCGTGTTTTGACCAGAAAACGGCCAGAAATGTCGTCATCGCCGATAAGTCACGACTTTTCGTTTCCATTGCAATTCGTATTCTAAGGAAAAAAAAGTTCTTAAAAAAACTATTTTATTATTTATCTAATAATTTATTTTATTTTATTATTTTTTTTCTCATTATTTTAATATTATAAGAAATTCTCATTTTAATTATTATTATAATTATTCAATTTGTATGTAAAATACAATTTATAATATTATGATATTTTAATTTATGAAAACAAATAATGATATAAGTGATGAACTAATGTTAAGAGACCGTATGGATCGACACTTTGGTCGGGAATTATTGAGTTCAGTGTCAATAAATCGTAGCCTTATTTTTGTCAAAAGTTTGGTCTCAATTTTTTTTTATTACATTGAATACATATTAATTAATTGTATTGTTTTCTGTGTTAATTAATAAAATATTGATATATATATACACTATTTTGTTACAATTATTTCTGATATCACAAATGGGATCCAACTTATCATAAATCTCCACAATTATTGTATGTGTGATATCACCCAAACATGTCACACATACAATACTGTATACTCTCTCTCTCTCTCTCTCTCTCTCTCTACTGATGTCATATTTATCACATAAATTCAATAATTAAATTATATATAAATTGAATATATAAAAAAATAATAGTAAAATACATATACTAAATGATAATTTATTATTTAAAAAAAAATATTTTAAAAATCATGGCATTTATTTAATTTCTTAAATGCTATTATTCATAAAACATATTATATTGCTTATTGATATGAAAATTTTGACTCAAAGCTCAGTTATCTCTATAGTTGGCCTAATAGATGGTGGTGGTCGTGCACTTTCTATAGATGAATCATTCAAATCATCCCAAATTGGTGTCCACTGGACATTCGGTCTGCTGGTCATTGTTCGGTACAAGGCTTCAGCGGCCATACGATTCATAAAACTGTCACAACTATAGCATATATAATTGCCGAAACCGTTGATTCGGGCCAACTCTGGTTCACATACTGAACATAACTGTTGTTGTTGTTCACCACTGTTAGCAATAATGATTTCCTCGTCTTCAACAACTTGATTTGACAACTGAATCGGTGATAATGAAGATAACGGTTTGATATCCACAACAGCAACCGTCTCCATGTCTGCTGCAAAATCGGTAATCACCGGTTGTTCATTCATCTCCTGAGTGAACATCTGATTAAGTGATGGTGTTGTTGTCGGTGGTGCCGTAGTTTTAGTTGATTTATTAGCAGATCTGGTAACTATCGTACCAGTCGATGATCGATGTCTCTCAATCTTTGACGTCTTATTCGTAGTTTCGGTTAATTCGTTTGCCGAAGAAATAGTAAATCTTTCGTTCGGAAGAACTTTCAGTAAGTGAACCTTTTTCTGGTGATAAATCAGATAATCTTTGCGTTTGAAAGACATGTCGCAGTTCTCATAATTGCAAACAAATGGTCGATCTGTTGAGTGAACGATTTTCTGGTGTCGATGCAGTGTTCTTGCGCTTATGAACGACTTGTCGCAGTCATCGTAGTCGCAAACAAGTCGTTTATTAGTTAAGTGAACCATTCTTTCGTGTTGCCGAAGATAGCTTCTGGCTTTGAATGACTTATCACAGTCTTTGTAATTGCAGACAAATGACTGATCAATCGAGTGAACAGTTTTCTTGTGTATTCTCAGATATTCTTTGGCTTTGAATGACTGATTGCAATCATCATAATTGCAAACAAATTCCTGATCTGTAGTGTGAACCCTAGTGTTGTGTCGGCGCAGATAGTCTTTGCATTTAAACGACTGGTCACAGCCATTGTAATTGCAGACAAATTTCCGTTTAGTTAAATGAATCCTTTTCTGGTGTATACGCAGATAGTCTTTGCGTTTGAACGATTGGTTGCAGTCATTGTAATCGCAGACATGCGGCCGATTGTTTGAGTGAATGAACATATGTTTTACGAGATGCCATTTAGTCCAACCCTTGAACTGACATTTATCGCAACCAAACGGTCTGATTGCATGCTTTTCGCCCAAATGATTGAGTAGTGATATGTTAGAGAAGAAACCTTTTCGGCATTTATTACATCTGAATGGACGACATTTCAGGTGACGACTATTCACATGAATTTCAAGTTTATCCGCCGATGATAAATACCGATCACAGTGACCACATTTCAATGGATTATTGCTATTAGATTTAATATCAGACCAATTAAGACGACTATCGCCGATAGTTTTTGATCCATTGGTCGGCATTTTTAGCGGACTTATGAGTACAACGGGTTGTGTTTGCAACGAAAGTCTTTTCAAATCAAAATCACTAGAATTTGATGGCACTGTTAGGTCATCATAGAAGTCACAAAATTGATTATCACTGTTCACATCTTGAGACGGCTTCCCGTTGTTGTTGTTATTTAAAACTTTGTCATTATTGTCGTCCAAATTGATGAAAACCCGACTGTTAGATACCGATCGCCGACTAGTGGTCATCTCATGATTGTCACCACTATTATAGTCATCATCGCCGGCGACATCATCTGGTAGTTTGGCCAACGCCTGACGCAACAGTATCTTCTGTCCCAAAGATATCTGCGGAGGTATTAGATGCCAGTCTCTATCCATATCGAGGGCCCGTAATGTGTACACCGAATCAAAGCCATTGATAACCATTATGTCAATCGTTTCGGCACTAATACCAGCAATACGTGACAAATATCGGTGACAAAAGGTTTGACGCGAAGACATTGTTCTTGTTGATGATGATGATGATGATAACGGCGGTTGCGGTGACATCTATGACTTTGTGGTTAACCGGAAGTTCTGATGTTATGTTGAAAACAAAAAAAAATTAAAAATTGTTGTCACTTTGCGCAGACTAAAAAAATAGTATTTATATATATACTGTAAAACAATACTAAAGTTTTATATAAAACTTATGAACTAACAAAAAAAAAGTATTTTAATATTCATATAATAAAATCTTAAATAAAAAAACACTAATAAACATTATAATAAAATTTTTTTGAAATGTTTTCAATACCTCAATAATATCTTATCAAATGCTTTGAAACTTAAAACTTTTTTTTAAATACCTGTATTAATATTTATTATAAGTATTGAACAGAAACTTAATCTGTTTACTTTAGTTAATATCAAACATTTGATTTATGTTTATGATATTATAATAAATTATTATAATATCATAAATAATAATATTATAATAAATACTGTAAATAAATAAATGCTTTTATAAATGCTATCAATATAAATTACTTAAACTAATAAATATATTTTTATTAGCATAAAATAAGCAATAATTTTCAAATAGACAAATAGAAAAACTTTTACCATATTTTGCAGATAAATATATTATTTTACTTTCACTGAATTTATTTCTCATATATTTTTATTATTACAGACAAATTTAGTATTTAATATTAGACTATTACCCACCTGTAGACCTATTTATTGGTTTAACCCATACTTTTGACTTTCAAGTGATAGCACTGACCATATATTTCATACCAGGGTTAAGCAAGGTTTTGGATTTTAGGGGGGGGGGGGGGGGGTAGACCGGGGTAAAATTTACAAAATTCTCAAAAAATCTTGGGGGGGGGGGGGGTATTGGGTGGGGTAAGATTTTTATTGCATTTTTAAACGGCAATTTTTTCAAAAATCCAAAATCAAGGAGGGGGGTCTAGAGAAAATTCCCTAAAAATTCCTTAAGTTCCCGAATATTCCCATGTAAATTCAATAAAATTCCCACAAGTTCCCGGGAAAAGGTAAAATTTCCAAAAATATAAAAAAACTTAAAAAAAACTTAAAAATTAACAAAAACTTAAATTTTAACAAAAAATATATATTTTTAAAAAAAAAATTTTAAAATTAATAAAAACTTAAATTTTAACAAAAAAAATAAAATAATGTATTTAAGATTTAAAAATAGTTGATAAAAGCATTAATGATACACTATGAGTTATTTTTAGTATTAATAATTTTTAACTTTTAACATAATTAATTTTTTAAACAATACTTAATGTTTATAGTTTGTTATATATTTTTATTTTTATACAAATACTGACTGAATACTACTTATTTAACTCAAATTTCCATAAAGTTTAATTATATTAAGTACAAAATTGAAAATATTTTTAAATTTTTTATTTAAAATTTAAAAATTATTAATAAAAACATAAGTATTTATTGTTTTATTAACTTCTTAAACTTATATTTAAATTGTAATATGATTACTCTTTTCAACAAATAGGTAATTTTTAATTTTTTAGTTTATTTTAATTAAAATAATGTTATTTTTTGATGACTTTTAACGTTATTTTGACTATTTTTAATCAATAATTAGATTTTTTATAAATATTAAAAACATAAAAACACTTACTAAAATAGTATCAACTAAAATTAAAATTTTTATAAATTTCAAAAAAATTTTCGGCGCCTTCGGTGCCGAAATTTTAGGTGGGGTCATTTCTCCTCGTTTTTAAGCGACAATTTTTTCAATTTGGTCAAAAAGTCTGGGGGGGTAAAATCCCAATTTCTCGATCTTAGGGGGGGTATTTTGGCCTTACCCCCCCTACCCCCCTTACTTAACCCTGATTTCATACCTGTGTTTCTATACTACAGTAGTTATAATAATTGTAACAAAAATTCATAATTAAATTAAATTTTTTTAAAAAGTACAACTAATTTTTATATATCTGGTTATTATATACAGTACAGTAATAGAAATTTGGATACTTTTTTTTATTATAACATTCATTAACAATTATTATTTAAATTTATTTAATATATAATACAATTTAATTCACAAAAATTATTACCGTTAAGAAGTGACACTTTGTTGTTGTTTTGTATTGAATGCATTACTTCTGGAGACTTCGCGTCACTACCATTACTGGACCGATTGATCCATTACTTTGGATCCATAACACTGGGATTGATATAAATGAGTAACGGTTTGGTGTCTATATCTGATTTCATGTTCACAACTTGTTTTATGTCTGTAAATGGTTTTATGTCTGTAAATGGTTTTATGTCTGCAAATGGTTTTATATCCAAAACTGGTTTGATGTCGACAATTGGTTTGTTGTCGACCTCCGGTTCGATAATAGTAATGACGGGTTCAGTAGAGATCAGGTTAGTTGACGTTGAAGTTGTATTCATCAATTTGGTGCCAGAGGTTGTGCTGATGGTAGTGTTGATTGTATCAGTTAATCGATTCCTACGAATTGAACTAACGGTAATTAGTCGATGGATTTTGTGAACCGTTTTCTGGTGTTTACGTAAAGAGGATTTATTTCTGTACGACTGATCACAGTCTTTGTGAGTGCAGACAAAAAGCCGATCAGAGAAATGAACACATTTCTGGTGTCTATTTATATCGGATCTGCGTTTATACGATTTGTTGCAGTCATCGTAATTACAGACAAACGGCCGGTCAGTCGAGTGAACCGTTTTTAAGTGACCACTTAAATGATCTTTACTTTTGAGCGACTTATCACAATCCTTATGACTGCAAACAAATGGCCGATCAGTGGTGTGAACCTCTTTCTTATGTCTAATCAGATTCCCTTTCGATTTCAACAACTTGTCGCAGTCCTTATAATTGCAGACAAATTGCAGATTAGTTGACTCAATCCTCTGATCACACAATTGATTATCACTGTTTAGATCCATAATATGATTATAAGACTTTCCATTGCAATCCGTGTCCGTCTCGTCGTCCAAATTGATGACAATCCGTCTGTTAGATACCGATTGTCTTGTAGTTAAATCTTGTTTATCATCGCCATAGTCATCATCAGTTAGTTTGTTCAACGCCTGTCGCAACRGTATCTTCTGGCCAATGGATATTTGTGGCGGTAAGTGATCCCAGTCTTTATCCATATCGATGCCCAGCAAAGCGTTAACCGATTGGATACCATTTCGGACCAAAATATCAATTGTGTCGGCAGTGATATCGACAAAACGAGACAAATATCGGTGACAATCGGTAGACATGATCTGACCAGTGATATCGGTAAACAAAATTACTAATCAAATACAAAATGCATAATTAAGTAATAATTATTTTTTCTTCAATCAAACTGTTATTATTTACGGTTAACTTACATAACAATTACAATCTATTGAGTAATTAGTCTAAAAGTTTATCTACTCTTTCAATGTTTTATTTCAATAACTAATTAACTAATTAATTATTTTTTTTATCTCTGATTTAATATTTATATAACTAAATACCACAAAACTGTTTAATCCATTTATTTCATTTTGCGCTTAAAATAATTGCATAAATACAGTTTGTTCAACRCATAAATATCTCAAACAATATATTACAGTAAAATTAAAAACTAATGTATTGTATATTATAATATATATTATTAAAATTTATTTCTACTTAATAGTAGAATATAAAAAAAAATAATTTTTTAATTATTTATTTTTAAAATTATTTTGAGTAAAAATAAAATCTAAATTATATTATTAATTTACAAAACTAAATGAAATCATACGGTATGTGTCACTGAAACTGTTATTATTGGTTTAATCAATAGTTTTGAGTGGACTACTGTATTGATAGTACTGACCATTATATCTCATATATATATATTATAATTATAACAAAAATTCATAATTATATAAAATACAGTGAGTTTTTTGCTTACTATTTTTGTTTGAAAACTATATGTCAATCACTAAAGTAGTGATTATGTTTATGATAAGCCAATGTCTAATGTTTTAATATTTTTTTATCACAAAATTACATTCATATGTGAATTAAGTAATAAAAATTCACAAACTATACCACATGTGTCCACTTAACCCCTGCCGACCTCCCGTATCGCTTAAAGCACTGGTATCTATAAATCAGTGCATATGTGATGGTGATAGATAAATATCTAAACAAATTTATAATTTATCAATAAATGTTGATTATTAATTTACAGTATAATAAAAATAGTTCACAACTTAAATACTTTATTACTAAACATAAATAAATTTATTTTTTTAATAAACTATTTTATATTATAATTTATTATTTCTATTTAATATTATTTATTGAAAACTTCTACACAATAAAAATTATAACTAACTTATAAGTAAATTAAAGTAAAAAAAATAAATAAATTGATTTTATAGGCAATGAAAAAGTGAGAAACAGTTGTTAAGTGATGGACAGATACTTTGTTGTTGTTAGGAGTTATGTGTCAATGAATCGGAGCCTTATTTGTAAGTTTGACCTAAACTTTTATGATGGATGGGTTGACATTCACTTCATTCACGTCAAACAATTAGGACTTTTATTTTGGACTTTAAAAAATACCAAACAATTTCTTTATCATCAATCAACTGATCTTTGCTGTTGAATGCTTTTGATTGGTCGCAGTCATCATAATTTCAGACAAATTGGTCGATCAATTGAGTGATGAAACTCTCTATTATGTCGATGCAGTAGATCTTTACGATTGAAAGACTGATAACAATCGTTATAAATGCAGACAAATGGCCGATCAATCCAATTGTGAATACTTTTCTGGTGTCGTCGCAGATAATGTTGTCGTTTGAACGACTTGTTGCAGTCATTATAATTGCATAGAAATTGTTGATTGTCTGAATGAATCTGTTTATGTCGGATGAGATGCCATTTTGTACGACCCATATATGGACAGTCATCGCAAGCAAACGATTTAAATCCATGTTTTTGTGCCAAATGATTGAATAGTGATTTGTTAGCGAAGAAACTTTTTCGGCATTTATTACATCTGAATGGTCGGCATTTTAGATGATATTTATTTACATGAATTTCAAGTGTTGTCACTGAATAGAAAAATCTGTTGCATTCATCACATTTAAAACACCGGTTATTATTGTTATTGTTATTATTATTATTATTATTGTTATTATTATTTAGACTACTATTGCAGACAACAGTCTTTGATTCATTGATCGGCATTTTTAGTGGACTTATAACTACAACGAGTTGTGTATTCAATGCAAGTCTTTTCAACTCAAAGTCACTAACAATTGGTTTCACTGTTGAAGCGAAAAAAATTTCATTAGTTTTTTTTGGTTAATAAAAATTATGAAATCATTATTATAAAAAAAATGTAACAAAAAAAGTGATTACCACTACTGTTCTCAACATTAATATCCTTATCCGACGGCTTTTGATTGTTATCCGAAACATTTTCTAATGGGTTGTCATCCATCTGATGGTCCAAATTGATGAAAACCCGACTGTTAGATACCGATCGTTTCGGACTAACTTCTTGTTTGTTGTCACCGTAAAAGTCATCGTCGGTAGAGTTTTCAAGTTTAGCTAACGCTTTACGTAATAATATTTTCTGACCAATCGATATCTGTGTCGGCATTAGATGCCAGTCATTGTCCATATCTATCGCCCGCAATGTGTGCACCGAATCGAAACCATTTTCGACTAAACAGTCAATTGTTTCGCCGCTAATACCGACAAAACGTGACAAATATCGGTAACAAAAGGTCTGCCGTCGCGAATGCATTGTTGTCCTCGTCGTCGACAACGACACCGCCGCCGGCGGTGACATCAATGACTTATCCAATGATATTATGAAGGGTTTCGTCGAAAGTAATGTTATGTTTAAAGTTTAAACAAAACTAAATTGTTGTCAATATGTGTGCACACAAACAAAAAAACAAACAAAAAGTTTTAATATACAATAACAACACTAAGGTTTCAAATATAAAACCTATCAATTAATAAATGTATTTAAATAATAAAATATTCTTTATTTATAAAAAAAATTAAACTTTCATATAAATGATAACTTATAAAACTATAATATCTAAAAAAATAATACATAAAACCTAAAGGCTTAAAACATAAAACTAATGAATAAAAATAATACAACTAATAAACATTAGTAAGTGATAGTCCAAAATAAGTTGTCTACTTTTTTTTTGCTATGTTTTCAATACAAGTCAATAAACTCATTATAATATCTCATCAAATGCTTTGAAAGTTAAAAAACTTTTTTTTTGTTGTGTGTATAGTATTGCTAAGTATTGAACAGAAACTTAATATGTTTACTGTAGTCATATATAATATTTATTATTTTTATATTTAAGATATTATGATAATAAATATCTTATGTTTTATATTAATATAAGGTAATAGAAATTAAAAAAAAATTATATACCTTTTTTATTAAGCAATATAAATAGCAGCATAAAGTAAGCATAATAAATTTAATTAATAAATTGATAGATTGGAAAATTTTAAAACTTTTACCATATTTATTGGCATACATATACTGTATTATAACACTATGACTGCATTTATTTTTTCATTTATTAGTAATAATAGACTGTTTATTTGGTTTTTTAACCCATACTTTTAAATAACTTAAAGTGATAGCACTGACCATATATTTCATATCTGTGTTTTACGATCCTATACTACAATAGTTATAATAATTGTTACAAAAAATTCATAATCAAATAAAATAATTACTGTTATTTAATTATAAAAAAAATACAAATAATTTTATATGTATGTGATAAAATAAAGTATTGCTCTGAAAAAATTGTTTTACATACTGTATGCTATTATTAGATTAATTTATTTAATCAATTTTAAAAAATAAAATCAAAGATATTTAGAAATATTTAATTATTATTTAAATCATTGTAATATATATTACATCCAATAATATTTTGGGTCAAAAAAGAAAAAATTCTTACAAATTAACTAAAATAATTATTTAATAAAAAATACAAATTATATAATAAATTTGATAAAAGTATCGATTTAAAAAAAATGTTTTATTAAATGCTATTTTTATTAGGTTAATCTATTTAATCAATTTTTTAAATGAAAGTTAAATGACATAAAGTATATGTTTTAAAAATATACTTATTATTTAAATTATTATAATATATAATGCAATTTAGAATTTAATCCACAAATATTAAAATATTAATTATTATTATAAAAAAAGTGATGAACCGTTAAGGAGCCGACAGTTTTTAATAATTTGATAAATAATTACTATTATTGAATAAAAAAAAGAAAGAAAATGCAAATAATTTGAAAATTATTATTTAAAAAAAAAGTATTGATTCGGAAATAATAAAGTTTTGTTTTTGTCTTTAAGTTATGTATATATTAGATAATTTATATTTAATAATTCAAAAATAAAATGATATATAGCATTGAGCATATGTTTTAAAATATACAATTATTACTTAAATCATTAAATCGTTAATATGTAATGTAATTTATAATATAATTTTCCACAAAAAAAGTTTTATTATTATAGCAAAAGTGATGAACCGTTAAGAGATCGACACTTTGTTAAGATTAATATTTAATGATTGAATGTAAGCTTCAATTGACCGGTTGATCCAATTAGTCAATTACAGTGATAATAGCAGTGGACTTCAGATCTGGTTTGATGTCTACAATTGGTTTAATGTCAACCTTTGGTTTGGCAATAGTAGTAATGACCGGCTTATTGTTAGTAAAGATAAAGTTAGGTGACAGTGTTGACAAAGTCGTCAATTTGGTGCCACAGGTGGTGGTGGCGGCGGTCATTGTATCTGTTGATCGATTCCTACGATGAGAACTAATTAACTGATGATTTGAGTAAATGGTTTTCTGGTGTCGATTCTGTCGATTAGCTTTGTTTTTGAACGACTTGTCGCTGTCTTTGTTATTGCAGACAAATGGCCGACGGATCGAGTGAAACATTTTCTTATGTTGACTCATATCTTGATTGAATTTGAAAGACTTGTTGCAGTCCTTATAATTGCAGATAAACGGTCTGTCAGTCGAGTGAAACTCTTTCTGGTGTCGACACAGTAGTTGTCTTTCTTTGAACGACTTATAACAGTCTTTGTAATTGCAATTATATGGCCTACGGATTGAGTGAACATTTTTCTTGTGTTGAGATAAAGATTTTTTGCTTCTAAACGATTTGTCGCAGTTTTTATAATTACATTTGAATTGTCTATTAGTTGAGTCATTCCTCTGGTAACGAAATTTATTTTTATTCTTTACTTCAATATTATTATTATATGACTTTCCATTGCTATCCGAAACTGTGTCTATCTTGTTGTCCGAATTAATTACAACCGGTTTGTTAGATACCGATTGTCTTGCAGTTAGATCTTGTTTATCATCCACATAGTCATCGTCTGCGAGTTTGGCCAACGCCTTCCGCAACAGTACCTTCTGGGCAATGGATATCTCCGACGGTAAGTGATTCCAGTCTCTGTCCATATCGATGGCCCGTAAAGTGTTAACCGAATAAAAGCCATTTCGGACCATAATGTCAATGGTTTTGTCACTTATATCGACAAAACGTGACAAATATTGGTGACAAAAGGTTTGCCTCGAATTCATTGTCGACGACAACGACATCGGCGGTGACATTCAATTGACTTATTCAATAATATTATGGATACGGAAGTGATGTTTCAATTTAAAAATTATTGTCAATGTATGCACACAAACAAACCCACTGTAATAATAATAATAATTGAGTTGACATTGTAATTGTGAAATACATAAAATTACATATACATAAATTTAAACAGGGATGTATTTGATTAATTTTGAGCCACTCTATGAACTAGCAATGGGTTAATTCGACTCGTTTTTAGCAATGGGTTAATTGACACTAAAATCGCCAGGGTACAAAATTTTAACTTTTTTTTATCTCACTTTATAAAAACAGCAAATTATTATTTTAATGCAAAAGTTTAATATACGGTACATTTACATAGTATGTATAAAATTTATGAACTAAAAAAATATAAATTTATATATACTGTATATAGTAGATAGAGAGTATTGTCTATTAATATTTATATAATAAAAACTTTATGCTTAAACACTAACAAACAGGTAAATAAGCTAGATAAGTTCACTAAATGATTACTTATTAAATAAATAAAAATTATATACCATTTAATGTTAACTTATAATTTATATATCTATGAGTCAATTTGTCAAAATTGCTTTATTTGTATGACTTAGAAAATTTAATTTAAAAAAAATTTTTTTTTGTAATGAAATCAAAAAATAATTATTAATAGTTTATTTGAGCTAAAAAATATGTACTGTATATACAGTAGTTCAAATAGAGTAACTCTATTATTATATTATAGTGTTTATATTAATATTATAGACACATTAAATTATAATCATAAAGCTTAAATTATTAATTAATCTAATAATTAATTACTTATTAGAAAAATATAACAATAAACTACTTAAAAATATCATAAGTTAAGTGTGACATTAAATATATATATATATATTTAATTTATTTGAGATAGAGTATAATTTTATAAATTAATAAATTAATAAATTTTATATTATTTATTTTACACTATAATTCAACAATTAATAGGAGTTAATAGTCAATAATAGTGTTGTGATAATTGTATTGTTAGTAATGGAGACAAATAAAAATCGCGTGAAATTCATGTTTTTCAATAAAACAATTGAAATATAAGTTTTATTAGTGGTGTAAACGTTTTGAATTAACAAAATCGTTGCATTCAATAGCTATAACAACAAAATAATTGAATCTTAATATCTAAAAAACAATCTCAAAGACATCTAATTAGATAATGACTTCGACTTCAGGAGAGTTAGTAATGCCATCGATTCCAACCAACGACTGGCAACTATTGCTCAGCCGTCAGATCAAAGCCTTAAAGAAACTACAGTTTGAAAAACTGAAAATTGATGGACTGGTAGCCGAAGAGATCTTCAATGTTGTGGCTAAACACGAGAACAACTACAACAGTATCTATGAGAAGAGGAGAGCTATTATTAGCGGTGAAATCGAGCCGACAGACACTGACTGCAAACTGGACGACGATATTGAAGACAAAGACGAAGAGTTGGGTTACATACTCGTCAATCAAAGTAAACCAACCAATGGTTCCCTAATTAAAGGAATTCCTGGTTTTTGGCTCAAAACCATGAAAGAAGTCATGGATTTAAACAAATGGATTGAAAAGAAAGACGAACCAGTTTTGGAGTACTTATCGGACATTCGGATAAATTATGGCCAAAATCAACAAAAAATTGAACTCAAGTTTTCATTTGCGACAAACGAGTTCTTCAGAAATACTTCGCTCACCAAAACATATGAGATTATGTTTGGACCAAATCCTAACAATCCGTGGTTTCTCAATGATTACTATCCGATCGCTTCCAAAGGCTGTGTCATTGACTGGAAAAAAGGCAAAGATGTCACTAAACTAAATAACACCACCGATGGAAAGTCTTACGAGAAAAACAAAGACTCGTTCTTTGATCTGTTCAACGATTCACTTCTTGGAAGAAAAACTGATCCCAAAAAAAGTGATAATTATAACAATGAAATCCAAGACTTTCTTTGGGATGACTGGAATCTAAGCCAACTGTTAATCAAAAAATTGGTTCCGAATGCTATCCTCTACTTCACCGGTGATATCATTGAGAGTGAAAGCGAATCTTCCGATTCAGAGGACTCTTCCGATTCAGAGTCGGAAAGTGCCAGCGATTAGCCGTTAATATCCATTGTTTTAAATTATTTTCACAAATTATTTCATTATTTACTGCAATTTATGTAAACAAAATTATTCAAAAAAAAAAAAAACATTTATTATTATTTTATATTTATCTCTAAATTTATGTGTTTTGTATTATTCAAATTATATCATAAATTTTATATAAATCTGTAAACTATTTTTTCTTTCATTAGTTTATTAAAAAAATATTTTTTTTTATTTTTTAATTATAAATGTTTAAAGTTCTGTACATTTATTGTTGCAAATTGACTCCTAGTTATGTATAAGTTAACATTAAACATGGTATATAATTTTTTTAAAAAAAAATTTAATAAGTATGATCCAGTCAACTTATCTATTAATAGCTTATTTAATGTTAACTTTTCGATCAGATGAGTGATCATTTTCGAGATGTTTACGAAAATATTTCTGAAATTTCAACGACTTATTGCAGTCCTTGTAATGGCAAACCTATGACTGGATTGAATGAATGAATCCGTTTATGATGGTTGAGCTGCCAATTACTACGGGTCTTGAATTGACATTTATCGCAACCAAACGGTTTAATTGAATGTTTTTCTCCCAAATGATTGAGTAGTGATATGTTGGCAAAGAATCCTTTTCGGCATTTATTACATCTGAATGGACGACATTTCAGATGACAACTATTCACATGAATTTCAAGTTTCAATTCCGATGATAAATACCGATCGCATTCAACACATTTGAAACAATCATTGTTTTTAGTTTCGACTTCAGACCCATTTAGACGACTATTACTGATAGTCTTTGATTTATTGTTTGGCATTTTTAGCCGATTTATGACTACAACGGGTTGTATTTGTAATGCAAGTCTTTTCAATTCAAATTCATTGATAATTGACGGCAATGTTAAGTCATCATTGATTTGATACAATTGATTATCACTGTTCACTTCATTATTGTTATACAACATATCATTGTTATCCGAAACTGTGTCCATATTATTGTCCAAATTGATAAAAACCCGACTGTTAGGAACCAGAGGTTTTGGTGTAATTATTTGTTTGTTATCCTCTAAGTCATCATCAGTGATATCTTGCAGTTTGGTTAATGCCTGTCGTAATAATAATTTCTGACCAATAGATATCTGTGTCGGCAACAGATGCCAATCTTCGTCTATATTTATGGCCCGCAATGTATGCACCGAATCGAAACCATTTCGCAACATAATGTCAATCGTGTCGGCAGTGATACCAACAAATTGTGACAAATATCGGAAACAAAAAGTTTGCCACAAAGACGGCGACATCAATGATATTATGGGTCTCTAGAAGTGATGATTTGTGATATAATAATTAAATTGATAACAATATGTGCACACAAACAACCAAACAAAGAAGTTATATTACAAATAACATTAAATAAAAAACTTTTTATCAAAAAATAATATATTTAAATATTCAATAATAATAAATATTCAACACATATTTAAACAAAAATAACTAACAAATACACCAATGTATACAACAATGTATATACCTAGTGATGTACCGATTGCAAAATGCGCAATTGCATTGGTCGGAAATTGCGTGAAATTGCCGCAATTGCATAAGACTCGATTGCGAAAATCGCAATTGTAACATAGAACAATTTATAATTTTTTAAAAATTAACAAAATTTAAATGGTAAAGCAATGTGAATAAAAACATAAATTAATTATATTAATTTTAATTATTTAATCATAAAATATTGCCATCTAAAAACCATGTAGAAATAATAATAAATTAGTAAATTATCTTAATCTATAGTAAACTAAATTTTTAACATTGTCAAAGTTAATTTTTATACATTCCCTCATGCGCGCAATTTCAAGCAATTTCACGCAATTTTCCGCAATTGCGGCAATCGAAAATTGAATTGCGAAAAATTACCAACACTATATATACCTGTACTAAAATTAACTATATTTATCACATATATATACATATATTATAAATTATATACAGTATTATTGTATTTTCATTACATTCAAAGTATTATCCATTAAATACTTTGTATTAATAAATCTATTTTTAAAGTTTTAACCCATAGTTTTTAATCTATTTATATCAATGACAGTATAATATATTTCATACCTGTGCTATATTTAAGCTATAAATATAGCCAAAAAAATTATATTTAAATAAAATGTTTATTAAATAAAATATATAAAATTAATTTATTTGTTTACCTAAAAAAAAGTATTGTTACTAATTTTGTTGTTATTGATAAAATTGGTTCAAACCAAATGATACAATAATGTTTTTTTTTTTAAAAATAAATACAATATATTAAATATTACAATATTTTTTAGAAAAACTACAATATTTTATGTTAAAAATTTATTTTATTTTTTATTTCATTTATACTACTATACTGAATGTTATACTAAAGATATTAATAATAATAATAAAAACTCGAATTATTTAAATAAAATAATAATAAAATTTTATAATAACTAAAATTATTGATTAATAAAAATTAAAGACTGTATAATAGGTAAAATTAAAATATCATTTTTTTGTGTGTAAATTGTGTAATAATTTATATATGATTTACAAATTGTTTGATTAATGATTATATCGTTGACGAGACATATGATTGAATCTATCAGAGGAAGTGATAGTTATGATTAACGAGAGGTCGGTTCAGATCGGCTTCTGGTCTGTCATAATGTCTAAGATTTTGCTGACGGATCTCATTTCGCCGATTATTGTTATATATTGCCGATCGTCTCGATGTGGTTGCAGTGGTTGTTGAATGGCTGACTAAAGTCATCGAAAGATTCGGTAGAAATCCGGACGGAGATAAAACCAATTGGCGACACATCGGACACGTATTGTTTTCCATTGCAAACCATCCTTGAATACATTGATTATGAAAACTATGGCCACAATTAAGTTGTTTGATCCGATTGGCCAATGGATCCAAACATATTGAACACATTTTCATAGACGTGTTGAACACATTTTCAGCCGCCACTGATTGGTCACTCAATTGGCAATTGTTTTGCAGATTAGTTTCAGAGTCAATCTTCTGGCCAAACAATTGATAATTATCACTGTTATTGACTTCAATATTATGATTATACGAATTTCCGTTGCTATCCATTGAATTTGTGTTCATCTGGTCATCCAAATTGATGACAATAGGACTGTCTATAGATAGCGATTGTCTTGCAGTTAGATCTTGATTGTCACCGTCATAGTCATCAGCTGCCAGTTTGTCCAACGCCTGCCGCAACAGTATCTTCTGGCCAATAGATATCTGCGGCGGTAAGTGATACCAGTCTATGTCCATATCGATGGCCCGCAATGCGTGCACCGAATCAAAACCATTTCTGACCAGAATATCAATGGTGTCGGCACTGATACCGACACAACGTGACAAATATCGGTGACAATCGGTGATTGACATGACCTGACCTGACCAGTGATATTGGGCTACAAATAATATATATTATAATTAATTCTATAAAAAATTATCTTATTTTCCAATATTTTCCGAATTAACTGATTATCTAATTATTGGTATAAATGAAGCCCAAAAAATGCATAAAATTTTATAGAAATATTTTTAAAAAATTTTTTTTATTCAATACACCACTCAATATATAGTTTAAATACTTGTGATAATATTTGTTTTTCAAACCTAGGTTAAAATATTAGTATTAAAATATGTTGATTTTAGGGTTCAATAGGTGAGTTCAGGAGCACAAGGAAATAGGAAATTCCCTGGGAATTCCTTGAAATAAACTATTTTATGTTTAATACAACTTATGTTTTAAACTAATGTATGACTGTATGTGTAAATATGTGCAAACAAACAAAACAAAAAGTTTATTACAAATATAAATCTTAAACAAAACAAAAATATTTTTTAATATTCGTATAAAAATCTATTTTTTTAAAACAATCAAACAAACAGGTAGTTATAATTTATGATAAATTATGTCTATTTTTTGTGTGCAAATATTTTCAATGTTTTCTGATAAACTCATTATAATATCTTATATGAATGTTTTGAAACTTTTAATACAGTATTTTAAGAAACTTTTAATCTGTATATTATACTTAATAAGTACTACTTATATATCAAACATTATATTATAATATAAATTAATTAACAATATTTATCATATTTATTAATATATGCATAATATTGTGTATATTATTTGCATTTTTCACTACATTTATTAAACATTAATATTTGTAGAGCTATTTAATAGCGACAAACCGAGACAAATATCGGTGACAATCGGTGGTTGACATGACCTGACCAGTGATATCGGAGTTACGAAAATACTTGATTTAATACAATAAATGATTAAAAAAACTAATAATGAAATACTTAAATTTACTCAAAGTTTACAAAAACAACTACAAAATACTGTTTATTTATTAATCAAAAAGTTTATGTTTTTATTTAATTTCAGTTATATTTAATCAATTGCTTTTGTGATTAAAACTTTTATAATCACAATAAATACTACAAAAAAAATATTTGGTGATAAAAATCACATTTGACTAAAATACAGTATATTAAACATAATTTTTTAAACAGTAAATTATATACTGTATGTAAATATTTATTTATTTTATTTGTCAAGTTATTAATTAGAAATTGCTTTTAGCTTTTTTAGTAACATTTATTTATAAAACATAAATTGCTTATATTATTATTATTATAACAAATAAATTTATAAACTTTATAATTTAGTTTTTAATGATTTTTTTTATTGATATATTTGTTTGTTATAGATTTTATTTATTTAGTTTATTTTTTAATAATTCAAACTCATTACAAAAATATATTATTTATTTATTTTATCATTTAATTATATTTATTCTATATATTCTTATAAAAATGTATTTTATATATAATATATATACATTTCTATTTAGAAATTATTTATTGTAATTTACTGTTTAATATTTTTGTAGGATGTTTATATTATAAAAAATTAATAATAAATAATTATAATAAAATAATACAGTAATAACAATAATATTAAATAAACAAAAAATATATAACATTTACATTTTATTTTCTTATATTGTTTAAATTATTTCAATTGTAATAATAAATTATAATTAAACATAAATTGTTTCCTTAAGTTCATTATTATTATCTCAACTAAGATTAGACACAGATATAGAATATTTGTAATAATTGTGATTTTGTTGAATGAAATTTTAATAAATCAAAAATGAAATTAATTGATTGATTAACAATTTTTAATAAATATACGAACATTTGTTTAATCAATCAATTTCAAACATTTACTTAAAAATTAAATATTGAAATAGACATATTGGATGCATATATCAAATAGACAAACTGTACTATATTATCAAATAAATAAATAAATATATATATATATATATATATATATAATTTCATTTAAATTTACTATCAATAAACTAAATGTGTTTATATTTCCTCAAATAAAAACGTATATAAATCAATCAATTATTATTTGTTTTAACTTTGTGTCCACTCATTCTCTACGGTTTAACTTTCGCATTGGCGCTCATATATTACACGCATTGTGTTCATTGTGTTAGCGTATCTCTAAAACCGTGAAAATAATCTTTAAAAATTGTGATTTTGTTGACTGAAATTTTAATAAATCAAACCAAAATGTTACCAAAATACTATTTATTTAAATCGGTAATTAATCTGATAGTCAATATAATGACAACTAGAAAATTATGTAATGCTAACAAACTATCTAAACGGTTGACATAGATTTTTAGTGAAACACAATATTGAAAACATATTGTAGGGAAAAGTTATCTAAATTTTTGTCCAAATATTTCAATTGTTGGGCAATTATTGATGATTTATAGGCTATAAGTACAGTAAATATTAGTAACATATTGCCAGCAAACCAAAACAATAGCAATATTATCCAAAAATATTTTGAGATATCATGATTGCCAAACAAATAAATTGTAATCATATAGTTTAGTTGAATACTAGTTGATAATATAAGGGTAATAACTGTTACAGTAATAACCGTTGTCAACACTGAGCTGTAATTGGCTATTGTATGGTTGACGACAATGAAGCGATACGATTGGTGTTCAAGTGCTGAGACCCCAAACATTGATGCATATATCAAATAGACAAACTGTACTATAATATCAAATAAATTTAAAAATATAGAATTTCATATAGAAATTTACTATCAATAGACTAAATATATGTTTATATTTCCCATATAAATACGTATATAAATAAATCAATTATTATTTGTTTTATCTT